CCCTAAAACACAAGAGCCCCGCACACCGAAACCCTAAAACACAAGAGCCCCGCACACCGAAACCCTAAAACACAAGAGCCCCGCACACCGAAACCCTAAAACACAAGAGCCCCGCACACCGAAACCCTAAAACACAAGAGCCCCGCACACCGAAACCCACAGTTATACTTTATTGCATGCGCACTCACATTTTATTGTGGGCAGTTTGAAATTGTTGTGATGCAGCATAAATAGAGTTATTGCAAAATACCTTTCTGTTTTGATGGTCACATATAATTAACAAAATGTGCACAGAATAGAAATTAAATTATATACATATATGTTGCTTAAATGAACAAAATTAACTGAGAAGTGAGCTTGGCATTTTAAAAGTTTTTTTAGTTCTTGCTTCTTGCAAATCAATATTTCATACTTAAATTACATGATTTTAATGAATAAATGATGATAAATATCAATTTTAAGAATTAAAAAGATTCAAAATAATAAAACAACTTATGACAGGTATCTAAAAGTTAGATCACTAAAAGACAAGCGACGATCCCTCACATATCTAGTCTCATACTCGTTTCCATGTCCTAATTCCTTAGACATTGGGCAAGGATCTAGGGTATGCTCTGTACTTGTTGTCAGACCATTCAGTTAAAAAACAGTTCTTGTCTTTCACATATTTTTACTCTAACCAGAAAATGTTTTTCAGTTAATTAAGTAATTCCATGGACTGTTTTCCTTATTTCTTGCGAATCAGTTTTCATATACATATCCTCATCAGTTTCATCATACGTTTCATTAGCATATGAGCTGTCTCGCGAGGAATCCTCAGCTGCAGTCTCATCATTCCCTTGATAGTGCTTCTATCACCAGCGGGTTCAGGAATGAATCTGTAACCATACTTTTCAAGAAAACTTATTGTAAGAAAGGTTATATGTGTCACTATCAAAATGACCAAACTAACGCGGAAACCCATTTTGAATCTTGGGCTATACTTTGTATGCCACTGCAATGGTACGCTGTGTAGCAAATGATTCATCAAAGCTAGGGTTATATCTTTTTCTTAGCATTATCACTGAAAAGATTCCTAGTCCAAGAAAAAGATGTTGATAACCCAAATGGAAAGGCATTATTAAGAATGCAGCAAGCATCAACTTTTTAGGCGCATCCTAATCAATTAAAACAAAAATTGCAAAATATGTAAGACAACGAAATTATAAACCCAGAACTTTCCATAAACTACACCATGTTGGGTATGACGGATGTAAATAATGCAGCCAGCCCCCCATTTGCGGCAGCATAATTAGTTGGAGCCGATTTGTCATACAATTCTGGAACTTTGCTCTTGATATATAGCTGTAAACCAGCAGCATACCAGTACTGGTGATGTGCCACCAATAACAATATTAACAAAGAAGAGGTCTTTCAAAACTTGTTTATCCAACCTTTTAGGAGTTGCAACTCTGCTGTTAGTCCTTTTTCTTGCAAAAACCAAATCAACTTCCATTAAAAATCCCATTCTTTTTATAGTTCCTGGAGTGTGCTGGAAAAAGTAGAAGGCCATAGAGAACGACTCCGATAGTTATATCCCTGTAAATAATAGACTACAACACCATCCAGGCCTACGTTAGACATCATCTAAATTCTTACTACAAGCAGTTTGCAACAATCCACTAGTTGCGGTTCCTAAACTTGCAACTGCATTAATTAAGCCAGACCTTCTCACATATTCTTCTTTTGTATACCAGGTGGATAATTACTAACTTCCTGGAAAAGATATTGCCTGAGCAAACCCAATGATGAATATTAAAACATAAAGCTGCTGCTGACAACTCACTAGCAGATGTGCAAATTCCCCAAAGTAGTTGACAAAGAATAATAAGGTACCGAGACAAAGCCTGCTTTTGAATTAATAAAATTATTGGTAGTTGAAAAATTGCATAAGCAATATTATAAGACATCGAGAAGAGATTCAATTTATCGCTAAATAATCTAAGGTCCTCTCTCATTCCGGAAACATAAACGTTAAAAATATTCAGTTGATCTAAGTACTTTGGGTAGAAAGCGGGACCAAGGAAAAGAACAACAGCCGCATCGACTTTCATAAGATTTTTTCTTCCATACGCAGAGTAATGGGAAAGATACCAATGAAAGATATCAAGAAAATTAAAGACTTTCACCTTATTACGAGGAGGATGCATAAGTTTTCTGTTTCTATCAATATTTGTATTGATATAATCGTCCCTCAACTCTTCACGTTTTGCACACTCTAAAGTAATCCCAAATAAGATACCATGCAGATTTAAACCTCATTACTACTGCGATGTTCTAATAAATATTCTTGATGAGACAGCTTCCTTGCTGAAGATAGTATTTATAGTTAAATTTAAACCTAATACCTGGCATCGTTAATACAACTTTTGTTATTAAACAAAGCCACATTTCAGCAAACAATAATGACAAATCTAAAGTTCTAGTGAACCTAAGAGAAAAAAACATTTGATAGATGGCATTCGTGAAAGAGGCTTTATTTCTCAACTTGTTACTATTTAATACTACAAAGCAACATTAGAATTGTCACTTTGTGGTTCTTTTTATATGATTACTAGCTACTTTCTTCACAGTATTGAGCACTAGTTAAGCGTACTTGAAAGGACAACAGTATACTCACAATGAATAGCCCCGTTTTCCTTTTAGATTTTGCTAAAGCATGGAATAAAGTTTGATCGAAGAAGTTTCAATATCTCGAAACTAGGTTTCAAGCTATTCCTGATAATTAATAATTTAATTGTGGTGTTATTGAGTATTCAAATGTTGGAATCATCTCTTTCAAGGTCATAATACAACAATTGTATTCGTTAATATTGCCTGATGGTCTGCTTCTCCAAGTGTTATATTTCCTGTCAAATGATCAAGGTTTCAAAGTCCGAATTGAGGTTTTGATCATATTTAATACCCAAAACAACCATTTCTTAATTTGTGTGGTTCTTGCGTTGAATGCAAGACATTTGGCCAATTTATAATAGCATACGAAAGTATACATAAAACTACCCTATTTCTGGATTTTTCAATTTGAATGTTAGATAGTATCATTTTTGTTCTGCGGTTAATTCACATTTAATTCCAAACATAAATACCTCGTTCTTTCAAAACCTTCTCCTTTGAAAATTACATTCCTAAAAAACTAAGTTCAAAATGAAAAAAATCATATCTAAGGCTGGTTAGCATATTCAAGCAATCAACTTACCAATTTAATGATATATTGTGCTAAGACAAAATAAAATAGCAGGTCCTTCCCTTTGGACAGTTAATTGAGAACTACTTCTCAAAATGCCATACGCAAAAGAGAACAATAACAGATTGAATCCGATTTAGACAGGTGCAACGTTACCTGGAAAGCATATCTCAACTAGTAACCTCATCACGTGACAATATTTGATAAATCTTGGTCGTGCGCTAAAATTTCCAGAGAAGTATGGCTCAAATAGATGGCCTTCTAGAAGGTTTACGTCAACGTTCGCCCAGTTAATAGGAATTGTTGTGCACTGGAATCTTTGAACAGGACCTGTAATTCTAAAAAGACATTAAGGACCTTCAAAGGTCATACAATAACCACTTTCCACACTAATAACCTAACTTCAACCTCCACATTGCAATATGAAAAACTGAATGGTGCAATAGCTCAGCTTTAAGGTTTGATCTAAGGACCTAATACCTGTGTAGCCTACTTTTTCAGCTAGCTTAATGAAGTAAATACTGATGGCACAACACTAAAATTCTGAAGTACTTATATCAGACGATAGGATCGTGGATTTGGCACACTTCATCTGAAAAATTTACAAAAAAGTGCTACTGGCTATTATTACAGATGCCATTTGATAAGATATCAGACCAACTAAAGCTGAACACGTTCACGATGAGCTTCCATCAAATGTATTACTCCATAAGGTGTGGAAAATTACTCAAACTAAAGATACTTGTTAGTAACATGGTCTCATTAAGCTAATTGTAAAAGGTGAGAAAGAAAGCATCATATAGGTGTTAGTTGATTTCAATTTGTGCTAGACATAAAACAAGCACAATCATGACGATAACGCATGATAAATTTTAATCCTAATTTCCTTCTGACCTCAAAAGTATTGTTATAATAGTCACATACATTATTTGTATTAGTTTTTAAAGAATAAGTGTTGAATGAATTGAAATAGGCCTGAAAATTTTTCTCTCAAAAGTCCTTTTATTCGTTTGATTTTGTGTTCCGGGTAACAAAAGGGCGTAACTAAGAGTACGACAAACAAATATGCGACCTTTAGGACTTACATGACTTAAGTCACTAGATCTTCAATAAGAAAATGCATTTCCTTTGGAGAATAATTGAAGCTTTGAAAAGTTAATAAATGTAGTTACTTTAGCAATCATCGTGTTAAAGTACAGTGATGTTCAAAGTACATGGCCAGTTATAATGTACCCGAGTATCAGAGAAGAGGCTATTGCTTACTTCATATTAGTAAAACCTTCCTAGCAAGCACAGAAATCCCATCCTTTCTCTTCACATATAGTACACCAATCCACAAATATAGTACCATTCATATTCCGTCTCCACAATTCCCGTGTTATTTCACGAGCTGTCTCAACGTTATAAAGTGCACAAGACCTTAATAACCTATTGAACCCTTGCTCTATTCTGCTTCTATCATAGGCTGTCTGAGCAACCATTCCACACGTTAATAATGGAATAAGCATAGAAACAAGCATCTTTGATTCCATCAAACTTTCAATTAAATTTAATAACTCTCCAGCAAGATCTTGGACCTCAGTGGCATTAGGGTGTACTTCCTTAAGGAACAAATAGCAATATATCTGACATACTATTTGATAAGTTTTGAAAGTGTCAACTTGTAAATTGAATTCCCTTTCATCATCGAATAGTAGATCCAATTGTGCTTTACAAGGTTGTTCTGCAGTGACTTTCTTCATCATATCTGAGAATAAAGACAGTGTAGAGTGGTTATAATCTTGAAGTTCTTGTTGGTAAGTCTCTTTCAAACTCTCAGCAATGCTGGTTTTAGATGATTCGTTATAATTCCGTTCTAATACTTTCCTTCTTTCACGAACAGCGACTTTGGCATTGACAATCTCTCCCAATCTTAAATATATCGGTTGAAATACACCTTGTACTGGGTCAACACCATATTTCAGAAAGTTAACACCTTCAAAAACTTCCCTGTACACTTCTATTGGATAGGTAGTCCCATTCAACAACACATTACTTGACGTTATATCAGTATATTGGAAAAGAGACATCAAGAAAACAATATCATTTGAATATTGATAATCCTCACATACCTTTTTAAGTCCTCCACAATGATCCACAAAATCCTTATACCTTAAAAAGACAATCTTCCATGCTAAGCAATCTCCCGCACAAACATATAACCCATATAGTACAGTATAAAATAACAATACCCAAAACCTGTATACCCTTGACTTCCCTACTTTTGGAATATAATTATTGTTAAATAAAACAATAGCTTTCTTATAATAGATTTGAACGTATGGATCATTTAGTGAACCTCTCAAATACATTCCACCCCAAGCAGCAACCAAATTACAGATTGCTTCGTCATAACGACAGAACTTCAAGTGAGATTTAACAAAGTAATTAGAACTCTCTCCGCTAACAGCAACAACTCTTGTCACCTTATATCTATAAAAGTTCAAAAAGAGTTCACCTCGACTGTCAAGAAATGAGTGTGGGTTAGGCAAATAAGGATGAACTGGTATAGTTGATTGGATACTGAATACATCGTCTAATGCTGATTCAGTTATAATACTTCTTGAATTAACAGTATCAGAAACATTCTTTTCGATATCACTTCCATAGCCATTTGATATTGATGCTGGGGAACTAATATGAAAAGCCAGTTGAAATCCAGAATTAGATTCAAAGACGTCTGGCAGTTTAAATAAGCTCGAAATGTCTGGGAGTCTATTTGGTGTTGGTTCTCGCAGATCATTCACTACAGGAAGTGATAAAAGCGGTGTTTCAGTATTTGGAATTGGTGCCAGTTCTAAAGTTGGGAAAGGGGATAACAAGTCGGGAATAACATCACAAAATCCCGGTGCTCCTAAGGAGAAGGCATTCAAATTATGTTCATAAACAAAAGGAGTAGTATCATTTGAACCACCATATTCTTCTGTTCCAATGGCTCTTGATCCCGCAAGAGTCAATGGTTTGTTCAAGGGTTGAAAAGCATAAGGGTATATCAATGGATCATCTGGTTGTACTACAGTAGCGTTTTCATTTTCATTTTCAGTCTTAATCGTGATACTTTGATCCACAACTACTGGTGGCTTAGGATCAACGCTCCACCCACAAGCTTCTTTCCGTCGTAAACAAGGGCCACAAACAGGATGTACATGATCACATCGTTTCTTACGACGACGACAAGCATTACAACCTTTTCGAGATCTTGATTTGGTTCCTACAAAGCTATCAGCTTTAACTTTTCGTTGTTTGAACCCTTCTTGGTCACCTTCTTTCTGGGGTTGAACTTGAATGCCGTGACTGATTGTTTTCCTCCGAAGTTTCTTCAAGGAGCCAGCCTCTAATAGAGAAAACATTCATTCAAGTAGTAAGCCACGCCTCACGACACCACAACACAATCCAGAGAGGGAGGGCGAGTTGTATAGTTAGGAGTAGTGCAACCTTTTGATTCGCTGCAGTCATTGTTGATGTTAGTCACATCTAAATCACATCATAATGGTAATAACACGACAATATCACGTGACCATAGAAATAGAATGGCTAGTGGACATTATTTACTTTGTTGACTTAGGTGTAATATGCTAGCAATAGCGTATATTAGAATGAAACCAAAAATACTCATGAACGCACTGAAGTAGTCATTTCATCATAGGGTAATTACGGATCAAAAAATGAATGCTTATTTGATAAGAACATAATCAGCTTTCCATGTCGGCGTAATCACCAACGTGTACTGCGTTTATAGTTACCAAAAGGAGATAGATATGAATCGATCCAATCAATATTACACAATCAGCTTGATCAAGCTCTGGGATTTGATATAGTCATAAATCGGCCCAATCACAACGGTTTGGCCCCTGTATAAACGTCACGCGTGGTATTAGCAGAAACTAGGAACAATGCTCTTGAACATTATCTTATTCTTTGCATACAATAACGACATATACAACTAACCTAATCAATGGAAATACCCTTTAGGGAAGAAGTTTCCCTTGGAGTGTATACCTCAAAACGTTGAGGTCAAATGAGGCTATACCGAGGAAGGAGAGCTAAATCACCCTCGGAATTATCCCCGGATTATGTCAGAACCACCACTTGGATAGTCCTATATACTTACCCCATTTTTACAAAATAAATTTAGGCGAGTGTTTTATAGATTACATATATACATAGATCTTTTGATACTCACAGAGTACCTGAAGCACTGGCCTTTTAGAAGTATATATTTGATTTCTTTCATTTGTTCGTTGTCTTAAACCATGACGTCTTTCTAAAGCTGCCGGGTGTCATGGTTATTTTCTTGGTGACATTTTTTCACAGTAACTGTACGCCAAGACCAACCAACTATTCCAAAGGTACTTTTAACTATTAAGCGGCATCAACCCCATTAAATGTTAGTGTCTGATTTCTCGAACCTGCTCTACTTTTTTCTTAGCTTCAATATAGGATGCAGACACTGAATGGACTACAATTGCTTGGAATGTGATATCGATAAGCTCCCCACAAAATTTCAGAAGAGATAAGGATTATCGTTACACTCATTGCAGTATACTATGTAAATGTAGAAGTATAAATACATCTTCAATGCTCCGTAAATCTGTAGCCATAAACTGCAAGAAACAGCCTTTGTCCAAACTATATTCTACCTTTCAATAACCGGATTCAACATGTCAACATCTTTTGAGGAGGGTACTGCCACCTTGTCTCCAGCAGACATGAGCTACATCTTGTTCTGTTCCTTTGCAGTGTTCTTGATTACTCCAGCAATTGCTATGTTTTATGGTGGTGCGTTGAAAAGAAGTTCAATGGTGCAATTAATGTTGCAATCGTATTTGGTTACAGCATCGGTTGCTGTCTTGTGGTATCTATTTGGATTCTCTATCTCCACGTCTCCAACTTCTACCAACAGTATGATAGGAAACATGAAGATGGCAGCCTTGCGTTCAAAGGAAGAGTTCCCCTTATACGAAGAAGGAAGTCTCCCCACAATTGTTATCTTTTGTTTTAACGTCTTCTTCCCAATTGCTACCGTACAGATTTTTGTTGGTTCTATCGGCGAAAGAGGCAGATTGCTTCCTTCAATTATTGTTGGATTACTTTTTGTAATTGCCGTCTATTGTCCAATGGCTTATTCTGTTTGGGGTCCAACTGGTTGGTTATTGGAACTTGGTGCTTTAGATTTTGCTGGTGGTGGTCCAGTTCATATATCTTCTGGGGTTGCCTCAATGTGCTACTCTTGGTATTTAGGACCAAGAGGTGGTAAGTTAGGTCAAAGAACTGGTACAATTCCCAAATACAGAGGCCACTCTCAAATGACTACTTTTCTTGGGGTTACCTTGATTTGGGGTGCTTGGTTCTGTTTCAACTCTGGAACCTTGTTGGCTGTTAACCCTAGAACGGGATACATTTTTGCAAATACCTTTTTGGCTGGTTGCTTTGCAATGCTTGCATATGTCGCTACGGATAAAATCCTTACTGGAAAATATTCTGTCCAAGCTGCATGTGAAGGCGTCATTGTTGGTTTAGTTAACATTACCCCATCTTGTGGTTTCTACTATCCCTGGGCTACTGCTGTTACATCAATTTTAACTGCCACCTTCTGCCGTTTGTTAGAGCCGGTGAATGAGTGGACAGGCATTGACGACTACTCCAAGTCTGGTGTTGTTCATGGTATTGGTGGTATATTTGGAGGTATTTTCACAGGTATATTTGCTTCTAAACATATTGCTTCAACTGATGGTTATACAGAAATTGATGGTGGATGGATAGATGGTCACTGGATTCAATTGGGGTATGAGTTGGCTGCCATCGTCACCATGGTGGCTTGGACTGCTGTATTCACTTTGATCATCCTTTACGTTGTTGATCATATTCCAGGTTTGCGTATTAGAGCAACTCCAGAGGAGGAAGAAATGGGTATGGATTTGTACGAGATGGCTGAAACTCTTGATGAGTTTGGTAACGACTATGACGAATTTTTCAAGGCTTATATAAAATATAAGTCAATGAAGGAAACTTACGAAGTTGTTCAGGGAGTTGAAGTTACTAGTGAGTCCTCCCCTGTTGAAATTGGCGAGAAGACTATGACTCAAGTCTAATACTATGGGATGGTATAACGACAATTGAAATTTTTTTTGTCTCATATGCACTGGTTCATACCAATATAAACGAAGATAGGAGCCAGAACATCGATTTCAGCCTTAATGGGTATGTATTCTAATATATTTTTTAATTCTTTTGCTGCTAATAAAGCAATTTCACACCAGTATCAGTGATTTTTAGTAAAATCATAGGGAGCCTATTCATTAGTTCCGTAGTATTGTTAACCAAAGTATATTCATGCCTAGACAGGAAATGTTTGCTATTAAAGTATTATCATACTACACATATTAAAAACTATGATCCCAATTCTGTTAATGGATAGTGTCGGTTTGAAACGTTAACGTGCAAACACCCCTAACCCGTTGTTTCTCGGTCATTAACCTCGTACTATGTTGCTAATATTCAGTCGGCAGATTCCAGCAGAAATGACTAAAAACTGTTTTGCAGCCTTTTACAGTGTTCTTCTCTGACTCGCTCCACCATGGCTTGATTAAGGTAATTAATATGGTGCAGATTATATATGATTATAAACGACGACTAACATTAACAAGTTATTAAGCCCTGATTTTCTTTCTGAAATTCATACTGAACACTTGCGCCAACTCTTTCTTTATACTTGCTTCAGCTCGTCAATTCAAGGTATTCTACTTTAATAGCTACAATAACCATTAAGTCATTACTTAGTGCTTCAACTCTACAAACATGGACAGTAAAATGTGTTATCACGTCAATGAAACTTAAAGTTTCTTTATTGTGAAAGGAAATACTAAAGTTCAATACACTCGTGCTTGCTGTCTCACAATAGAAAACAAATCCGAGGGTGCGGAAGTTGTTATCTCTAGCACCCTCGGTATATAAAATCTTTTTTGTGTTACAACAATCCTGATAAGCGAACACTTCAACTAAATTGGTATAATAAATATCTTTTTTCTCATACATAATTAATTAAGAATAAAGAGATACACGAGTCTTTATGTAGTTCTAGTCCATACAGAGTAACGATCCGTTTAGTCTATAGAATTGCTTTTAAGTTTAAGTCCAAAGCGATAAGACATATAAGACATATAATTTGCGGCTGCAATTTTTTACTTCTTTTGTCCAAGTGATCCTTCTTATCAGTTCCATGAAATATCTGACACAAAACCGTAATTGCAACCATTAAATATCATACCCTTTACAAGGCTTTGTAGTGATGATGTGGGAAAGCCAAGAAATTTATTTTAGGTTTGTGATCTTACCATCTATTAACTAATGGTACTTGTTATCTTTCCGCCTTTTACTAGTGATGGCTTAATGGATTGAAAAAAAGCCGGTCGGGTTAAAGGAATTAAATGCATCCTCTCGATATGCTTATTTAAGTATCAAAGATTCCCGACAAGAAAAAGAAGTTATCCAAGATAATTTTAAGTCAGGACAAGAAAAAAACTTAAACCAATCTAAGAATCATGTCTTCGCCTCATATGATGTCGGCCTATTTGACTGCCAAGAGAGCAGACACAGAATTTGCAACTCAGACAGCAAGTTTGGTTCCAGCAGACATGGGATATGTGCTATTTTCAGCATTTGCCGTGTTTTTGATTACCCCCGGAATTGCCCTATTCTATGGTGGTGTATTGAAGAGAAAGAATATGGTACAATTGATGTTCCAATCTTATATGACAACTTGTGTAATCGGAATGATCTGGTTCCTAATCGGGTACTCGCTTGCAGGATCTCCAACTTCAACTTCAAAATTAATTGGCAACTTGAAAATGGCTGCGTTGCACGACACAGAAGCCTATCCTGTCGTAGCAGGTGGTACTATTCCTTCAATTGTCAACTATTGTTTTAACGTCTTTTTTCCAATTGCTACAGTACAAATCTTCATCGGAGCCATTGGTGAAAGAGGTAAACTTGTACCCTCTTTAGTTATTGGTTCTATCTGGGTTATAGTTGTCTACTGTCCATTAGCGTATTGGGTTTGGGGTGCAAATGGTTGGTTGTTAAACTTAGGTGCCTTGGATTTTGCTGGAGGTGGTCCAGTTCATATTGCATCTGGTGTAGCATCGTTTGCTTACTCATGGTACATTGGCCCAAGAGGTCAACCTGGTAAAAGAACAGGATCTATTCCTCAATATAGAGGTCATAGTCAGGTTTCTATGTTCATTGGTGTCACTTTGATTTGGGCTGCTTGGTTATGTTTTAACTCCGGTACAATGTTGTCAGTTAACATTAGAACCGGCTATATCTTTGCTAATACCATTCTTGCATCTTGTTTTGCATCATTTTTCTATGTGGTTACGGATAAATTATTAACCGGTAAGTTTTCCGTTGAAGCTGCTTGTGAGGGAGTAATTGTAGGTTTAGTTAACATCACACCATCTTGTGGATTTTATTGGCCATGGGCAGCTGCATTCACATCTGCATTGAACGCCATTATCTGTCGTTTATTGGATCCCATCAACAAATGGACTGGAGTCGACGATTACTCTAAATCCGGGGTAGTCCATGGGATCGGGGGAATTCTCGGTGGAATTTTCACCGGAATTTTTGCTAATAAGACCGTCGCTGGTTACGATGGTGTAACGGAGATTCTTGGTGGTTGGGTAGATCATCATTACAAACAATTAGGTTATGAATTGGCTGCAATTGCTGCTATAGTTTCATGGACTACAGTGTTCTCCTTGATAATTTACTTTATTGTTGATCACATTCCGGGAATGAAATTGAGAGCTACTCCCGAAGAAGAAGAATTGGGTATGGATTTGGCTGAGATGGCTGAAACTCTTGATGAGTTCGGCAATGACTATGAGGAATTCTTCAAGATGTACCTTAAGTATAAGCAGCAATCAAGTTCTGAATCTTCTGTCATTGAAGTTCTCAATGGAATTGAAGTGGTGCAACAAGGTGGTAGAAGTGTGGAGAAGATGGACGTTTAAACGATCGAATATTGTTCTTGCTAACAACTTATTGAAATCTTACCTTTGTATTTATATGTCTTTCGTACTAATGAATTTCTTATTAGTAATGTCTCCTTCGTTCTATAATCATCTATTGTTAATTGGCTGCATTTCTATTGATTCTACTGGGTGGTGAACTTGGCCCAATTCTTGTTGATCCAACATATTATCAAAGAACGATGTTCTCAACTCGCTCCACCTCGTCAGATAAGTAGATAACGTCACCAATAAAATGGTACTAAGGACTTGTAAACACCACCATAACGTAGATGTAGGGAATTTGCCAGTGTATAACCACACCACAATCAAATTAATCACATGAACAGTAATGGCAAAGTCCCATGCCAATTTGGACCTTCCCACTATGATAGTAACAAAGAACACACAGAGAAGGGAGTCAAACAACCACATCAAAAACATGATAACCCCCATAGCGTTATCCAGGGATACGATTTCCCACAGGAAGATCCAATTTATCTGGAAATCGTAACCGTTTAAGGTCGACACCAAGTAGAAAATCACTACTGCTGTAAGATAGTAGAAACATTGCAAAACTATGATTTGAAGAGATAGTTTCAACGGGTTATTTACATCCGTAGCATCTCCTGTATTGAAGATCAGTCCAAGCCCTCGTACCATTGTTGCAATGCCACAGCTTATTATGGAGAGTGTTGTACTATGTTGTAGTATGTAGTGTATTATATTACACTGTGTGTTGTTAATTAAGTGATGCTTTTGATGCGGCAGTTTTCAATTGATTACGTAATAATATAACAAAGAAAGCCATTAACCATATTTCATTTGCTTACTTAATAATACGACATAATGAACCCTTTATCTATATTACACTATATTCTTATGCCCTTTTCTTCCCCTTCGACTTTTGCTTCTTCTTAGGAACAGACTTCTTCACCTGGTTATCCATTCGATCCTGTTTTGTCTTCTTATAAGATCTGGAGCCATCTTCTTTCTTGGATTCAATAGCTTTTCTTTTCTTTGAATTCACTTTCTTACCATGTTTAGTCAACTGTTGCATTGCATCTGTTTGATGTTGTTTCTTTTCCTTTTCTGTTTCAAACCAAGTTCTCTTTGGACGAGCTTTGATTTCCTTTTCATGTTTCAAAAGATTAGATGCTTTGGTTAATTCCATTTCTGCTTGTAAAATTTCTTTAGCTTGTTGTTCTTCCTCCAAGACTTCAGTAATAACTTCTTGTTTGGCTTCCACAAGTTTACTCAACTTTTCAACTTGATCCCATTCAACATTACGTGATACCACTTTACCTTCTTTACCATTAGATTCCTCTAACGCCTTCAATGCACTCTTAACAATGGCTCTATCTTGACTGGACTCTCCAACAAATGTAATGGAAACACCATCTCTGCCCGCTCTTGCAGTTCTACCAACTCTGTGTAAATAAATATCATAAGACTTGGGCATATCGTAGTTAAGCACCAATTCAATCTTAGGGATATCTAACCCTCTAGCGGCTAAATCAGTACAAATTAATACGGGAACCGTCAAGTTCTTAAAGTCTGTAACACTGGAGAGACGTTGTTCTTGAGTTAAGGATCCATGCAATTCAGCAACCTTCATCCCCAATAAACCTAAGATAATCCGAAGTCTATGAGCAGATTCCTTTCTAGCCACAAATACAATGGTTCTTCTTTCTTGATTAGGATCCAATTGTTTCAACAATTGGAAAAGTAAAGCTGGTTTCAAAGTATCTCTCTTCCTAATACGAACAAACTCCTGAATCAACTTGGTAGCAGCGGTCTTAGGTGGATCAATCATGATCCTTATAGGTCTTTGTAATGATAATTGAATCAAATCTTGGATCTTGGTGTTCATAGTAGCAGAGAACAAAAGAGTCTGTCTCTTATGCTTTGGAATCAACGACAATATCTCAGTCAATTCAACTTGGAAACCTTCATCTAACATCCGATCAGCTTCATCAATGACTAACACTTCTAAAGAATCAATGGAAAATGAGGGAGAGTTTCTTATATGATCAATAAGTCTACCAGGAGTTGCAACAACTATATCTGGTCTTGTCTTTAATTGTTGTTCTTGTTGTCTCAAGTTCAATCCACCAACAGCCAACCCAAAGCTCAAGTTATTGACGTAATGGGCAATCTTTTTACCGACATCACACACTTGAATGGCCAACTCTCTCGTGGGCGCCAATATCACAACCCGAGTAGACGATATCTTAGCGGGCTTATATAATAATCTCTCAATAATTGGAAGCAAATAGGCAGCTGTCTTACCAGAACCTGTTACTGCACCAGCAACAACGTCTTTACCCAATAAGGCAATAGGAATGACTGCTGATTGAATAGGAGATGGTCTGGTATAACCTAATTGACCTAACCCTTTCAAAACTGGACGTGATAATTGTAATGTTTGAAATGTGGTGTGAACCTGAGAAGTGGCTGATTGAGATTCTTCTTCATCAGCATAGAATTCTTTGATGGCTTCTTCAGAATCTTCTTCGTCTTCGCTATCGGTGTTAGGATGTTCTTCATCCATATCTGCTTCTACCAGGGATTCTTCACCATCATCTTCTTCATCATCTTCGTCCTTTTCTTCAACTTCCTTTGTTCCCATTCCAAATCCATCCATCGCAAGGTCATCATCTTCGTCATCGTCTTCGTCCTCCTCAGATGGTTCTTCCTCACTTGCAGACTCGTCATTATCGTCACCGGTAGCCACTAAATTGGTCAAACCACCTTTTCTTCTTAAGATTCCATCTAAATCCACATCCTTCTTAGCAGATGCGTCGTCTAACTTGAAATCCCAACCAGTAAAGTCACCACTGGTGGTGATGTCGTCCAACGCAAAGTGGAAATCGGGATTTAAATCTTCATCTACTTCAGGAGCATCATCATTGTCTTTCTTTCCGCCTTTCTTTTTACTTGATTTCTTCTCTTCTTCTTGTTCAATTTCACTCTCTGATTCTTCATACGCAACTTCTTCATCATCACTATCAATGGTTAAAATGAAGTCGTCATTATTGTTTGTAGCTTTTGAACCACTTTTATCTCCGGCGACACTGTCCTTCTTCTTTACCATCTCGCTCTCTGTTGCCTTCCAATACTGTTCTTCCACATGGTGTTCCAAGTGGCTTGATGTAACTAATTTTTTTTCGAGTCTAGCACCGCGATGAGCATCGCGCGCGCACAAAGGAAAAAAATACACAAAATCAGAAGTAGTATAACCCCAATACAGATTAAAATATACCAATTACATATACACAATATTATCATCCCATTAACTATAATAAAAGTCCTCCGAAATTCTTTCCAACTCATCTAATTCATACAAGTCATCATCATCTTCATTGAGAAGTTGTTCGCCGTTTTCAATATCCTCTAGTTCTGCCATACAATGTTCTATCAAAACAGGCTTTTCCAAGTTTAACAATTGAGTGTTGGTTCTAATGGTGGAAAGAGTGGTCAATTGAGCTTCTGTGTCCCTTGATAATTGACCTTCCATAGTCATGGCTTTCAACATCTTCAAGCCATCCAACCAAACATATTTTTTCACTTCGGTGTCGGTGTAAAATGTAAGTAACAGCTTACCGGTTGAGCTAACTAAGGAAATCTTCTCATATGAAATTGAACCCTTAACTGTAATCAACCGATCTGGTTTTTTGTCATCTTCATCTTGAGATCCAGAGCCAACTGTCTTTGACTTGAAGTCTGCTATATCAGCAACTCGTATAGATTGTTGTTCCATGACTTCGTATGATGGAGTTGCAGTTGACTTCTCGGTGTATTCCTTATAATAAATAGACTGTCTGTTAGGAGAAAGCATCACAAAGTAGTACTTGTATTTGGAAGTAGATCCATTGGAGTTCAACCCAGCAGCAGCATGTACCATGCTACTCTTGGAGTCTGTTGCAAGCAACTCACCATGATGTTCTGTGAAAACCCATGAACCTTTCAACAATTGAATTAATCTTTGTTCAGCAACAAAATTGAAGGTTTCAGTATTCAAATCTCTATTAAATTCAACCAATCTTGGAGCCCATAAATCATGTCTAGTTTTTCTTATTCTTTGCACTTGATATTGTCTCAATTCGTCTGAAGTTTGATTTGTTATGGAGTCTAAGATCTCCTCAAGATCTACCTTGACCACATCACCCAAAGCAGCAGCTTCTGTACTTAACTTTTCTTCCAATAACTCTATTATGGCCTCCATTAAGTCTATAATCTTATCAACATCAGTCTCATTTTCCAACAAAGCCCCTGAATCCTGCCAGAAAATCAAACAGAGGTTCATAGAGAAATAGATAAACACTTCCCAACATAACACACGAGAACAAATGTTTGGATATGAATAATTGTTTTCGAAAACCTTCAACCACAAGTAAGTGACTTTTTCTATCAAAGCATAGATGGGGAATGTTCGACTATGATCGCTGATCATCAATTCTTCATGGAAACGTTTTTTAAATGTCATATTGGGATCCTTAAGGAAGATTTTCAAATCCATAGCCAACAAAACAGACAAGTTTTCGACTACAAATTGTCTTGGATCTTCCGTAAATCCAGCCTTGACATACTCTTCAGTTGAGGCAGGAGTAGCAAACTCATTCAAGGAAACTTCTAAGAATATGAACAAATTATTTAACATAATTTGATGAGGAACTAACGACAAATCAAATGAGATTGTATTTAACCATTCATTAAGTTCATAGTATGAAGATTTCAAGTTGCCCACAACATCAGATATGGATTTATCATTAGCAGCAACTCCGCCATTAGCCGAGTCTTCATTGTCCAGTAATAAACTATCAACTGTCGAGAAAAAGGTCACATGCTTCAATCTTCCTGCTAAGGTGATGATACCATGGTAGTTGAACAAAAGGGCTTTGTTGATCAAATCACTGACCAATTTAATGGAGTTGTAGACGATCTTGGAATCTTGTAGATATAATTTTTCAGTCATAATATCAATGATATCAAGAAACTCAAGTAAAGTCTCATACAAGGGTAAGTATTTGGTTATCGAGTCCTCCTTAGTGATGAAGATAGAACCGGAGATCAACATCACAGATATCTTTAGAATCGCCTTATAAGTCTCCGTCGACATATTAGCAGATACTATGGAGTACAATGTTTGGAACAAGGTATGGTCCAAGACTTGTGAAAATTCATCGGACACTGCATCTGTTCCATTGACACAGTCCAACAACTTCGCTAACACAACTATAGAATTCACCTTCTCCTGTTTATCTTTGCCCAATATGTTTGCTCTCAAGATGAGAGCCCAATGAATGGCCGTTGAAGTGTCGAGCTTTGTTTTCGACTTACTCCCTACCGCGTATTAGTTAGTAAATTTGAAACAACCTTTTGAATCGGTCGACGTAAATTTTAGTACGTACTTTTGCTCAACAACTCATTGAGTTGGTGGTTGATGGTTCTAGATGTTTCCGACATGGTGAATAGAAAAAGAAGCCGGTAATATTATTTTGTCACCAAGTAATATGGTGTAATTTTTCAATAGCCCGTTGTAGGTATTGACGATACTCGATTGGGATGTCGATTAAATAATTTTTCACGATACGACTCGACTTAGATAAATCGTATGGGCCGATCTTTATGGGGGGTAACGTGGCAGATGTTGTCTGAATAACGTTCAACGACTTTAGATTAATATATATATATATATATTACGTTACATCTACATATTAGTATATTATGGTACAAGTACAAGTACATTTATATAATATCTTATGTCGATCTTGTATGTACTACTTAATGATGCTACAATGATAGTGAAATTAGACCAAACCAAACGCACCCTGAAACCCTTAAAAGATCCCAATGCGCCACATATCTTGTTGTTCAGTTGAGTAATAAATGTAATAATTCATTGTAAAAGGTCTGTCTCTGTCTGCCTCGCACGCCGCCCAGAGGGAGTTCAATATCGTTGCAAGGTGTTACAGAAACTCTGTTCCTCTACAAAAGTCAACTGACTCAGTCAACTATTTGATGAAGGTCTACATACACTCCCAACAAGCAAGCAATCTTAGGTAATTCCAATGGTTGTAAGTAAACAATTGGCATTCTTTTGCATATCAGGGGCCGCACCGTACAGAAGCATAAAGCGATCTTATATCCACTCTGTTGGTGGAGACAACACAAAGGTGCACTTGATCGCATCAGAAATGTAGCCACTCATAATGCATCGAAATGGAATACTGTATTTCATGATATGTGGTGGAGCTTATACCAGATAGAAATCCATGTAGTTGTTAAATTGCGATGAGCGGAGAAATGGGTACAGTGGAGTGGAGTAATGAGTACTGTATATCAGAGTATAAGAGATTAGTGCAGTTTATCAGGGTACACTAGCAGAACACACTAGTACTTATTTATGGCAGAATACGGTATAACTAGTTTAGTGTGGAGCGCACCTGTAAAGCACAGTACAATATAAACTGGCACTTATCGCCACAGCACAATCTGTCATGTTATTGTGGAGTAACGTATAATTGAGTATTCTAGACTCTTGTCACGTGAACCACCTATAATAAAGGCTATTTACCTAGTTTAGAACAATTGATAAAGCACTGTTATATACCTTGCCAGGTTGTGCATCACACTATTCCTGAACTAACGCATGCAGGTGATTATTATTGGCCAGTAGCCAATCGTTGAATTATAGCAATGGCGATGCGTTCCTTCAACAACGTAATGGAGCAAATAATAATACAAGTGAACAATAAGCTGTAATAGGACAGAAGATCACTGGACGTACAACTTGAACGGTAGTCTTGGAAGAGACAAGTGTACTCTTAGTAGAGACTCAGATCAGGTCTATTTAATTGCTACGTATTTATACCTAGTACGAGTAGAGGCCCCGCTCGTAGTACCCCGATGGACCGATAACTAAGCTGGGGGGTGTACTATTTATTGTATTTCATTAACCTTTCTAAAAATTAGACTTTCCTTTTTGTACTATCTATTCAAGACACCCGAACACCACCACAACCACCACAACCGTCCAAACCCAACCAATCCAAAAATTAGTGGGAGAATCAAAGAAAACATCTTCAATTTAACCCCATCATTTTATTATCTAAACAAAACCAATTCGTATTACTCCCGAGTCAACTCAGCACCAATTGGACATTGAATTGAGGAGCTCTTCATTTGCCATTGTGCCATAACATCAGTCTATCCCACATAGTAAGATGAGCTTCTTTAAAAGGGAGAAGTCTCGGAGTAACTTGAGACAAGCATTAGGGTTGTCCATGAGCTCGGCGCCGGCTGCTGGACAGTTAGCGATCACAAACTCACCTGACCCTAATGAAAGACATATTGGTGATGTTTCTCCCACAACATATACTCCTCCAATTGTGACCAGTAATGATAATGATACTCAGCATAACAATGATACTCAACCTGGTCACCACCCTTCAATGAAATCTAATTTATCTTCACAGCTCACTTCTAGTCGGAGTAACTCGACTCTTTCTCCCACTGTCTCTGCAAATTCATTCGATAAATCCGACCATCTTCTGAGCTCAGTGACTCGTCTGACCTCAAGGAAACAGGGATCAAGAAGCAAAGAAGCCATTCACTTCAACTCAAGTTATGACGATAACTCAGAAAAACTCCCTGCTTCAACCCCCACTTCGTTCAGATCAGGTTCAGGGTCGGCCGGAGCTTCTTTAAGTGATCATGAAAGCCATCATTCCAATACTCAACCAGGTACTTCCCCTGTCCCAATTTCAATTTCACCTTCGGCTTCTCCTACCCCCGGATCCTCAACTCGTAAGAGTTTGGACAATAGTCATTTACCTCATTCATTGCATTTCACCGCCTTAGACCGTCATCTTGGAACCACCCAATCCTCTGTATCGTCATATGGTTCTGCAACTACTCCGCCCGAGTGTTCTTCTCAACTATCAGCTAGTAACTTGAGTACCGACTCAGCTCCTCAAGTCAGAAGTCATAGTACAACCCTTCCAGCTACTCAGCACCTGCTTACTGCTGCAAGTAGCAGTAATATTCATCAGCCACATCACCATTCAATATCCGGTTTACCATCTACCAGTGGCGGAGGAGGAGGAAAAGGAGGAAAAGGAGGAAAAGGAGGAGGAGGAGGAAAAGGAAGAGGAGAAGGAGGAGGACTAACCTGTAAAATGCTGCTGTCTAAGTCAACAATACCAGCACATGCCTTCTCATCAAGTTTACGTTCGGATGCAGAATATAGTCCTAGATCTTCTGTTATATCATTGGACCGTTTGAACAATGGCTCAGGCCACAACGTTTTAAAAGATAATTATAAGGGATTTCATGCCAACAGAAGACCGACTGGAATTGATAACGTCCCTCCATTGACCAGTCCAATTACTCCAAAATTCAAAAAAAGAAGTGGATTCTTAGGTAAACTTATTGCTAACAGGAAGGATTCTAATTCATTAGCTCATAATAATAATGTTGATGAAAGTGGGGAATTACCTAACCCTCAGAATTCAAGAGCTAATTCTGTTTTCAGTAGTGGTCACAGGTCCTCAGTGGGACAAGATTACACTAGGAAATCATCCAATGCATCAACATCAAGTGCCCACTCAAAATTCAGATTACCCTCGCTAGCTTTTGAGCATTTATCCCATCACCATGGTAGTAATGCACCTTGGAACTTGGAAAATTCAGCCCATATGACCCCTTCAGGTCAAGCTACGTTACATACACCAGGTTCGAGAGCTGTTTCTGACGCAAATCCAAGTTCAAGTACTGCTTCCTTCTTTAATTTAGATGCTACCTTGAACTTAAATGATTTGTCGGGGATTGTAAAGACAAAGAAGGATTCAGAAGGGAACGTGGCTAACCCGAGTGACGCTCCAAGCGAAGTGGTTTCAATTGATTTACAATCAACTCAAGATACTAATGCTGCTGCTATTCGTAGGGCCTCTTCCACTCCAGGTATAGCTTTGAACTCAGACATTACATCATCGCAAGCTGGAGGAGGCCTCCCCAATCCTCATGAACACCAGAAATCCATTTGGATGGCTCCAGACTCATGGGACGTCAAGGGAAATGACTTAATAAGCTCAGATTTACCCGAAACAGGTTCCGACTCTGATAATGATGAAGATTTTACGGAAAAACCATCAAAGGAAGAGTCAAAAGTCACCACTCGAAGTGAACAGGTAATGGTAACAAAGCCAACAGAAAATGAAAGAATTCCATTAGGATCACCTTTAAGCTCTACCTTAGAGGTAAATAAGAAGTCGCTTTTGCCTGTTTTATACGGTTCAAAGACTCTGCAACAAGTAGTCATTCCTGAAGCAAAAAAGAAAAACCATATCATACGGATATTCAGAGAAGATAACACTTTTACGACAATATTATGTTCTTTGGAAATTACTGCAATAGAATTACTTCCTATTGTTCAAAAGAAGTTCTTTCTTGAAAACATTAGGAACTATCAAATCACTGCCTATATTGGAAACTGCGTTAAGGTGCTTGAACCCTTTGAAAAGCCTCTCAAAATCCAGATGGGACTTTTGATATTAAGTGGATATCTGGACAAAGACAACTTAAACTTGATTGGACGACAAGATTTATCTTTCTTGTGTAAGTTTGTTCTTGAAAACGTCTCCCTACGGAATTTGACTCGTGATGAAGAAACGTTGTTGTCCAAAGATTATGTGAATGTGAATATTTCAGGTTTAAACTTGAAGAATATTCCAATTGTTTTCCATCAACATACCTATGAAATTGAAAAGTTGAATGTTGGTGATAACCCAGGTGTCTATGTACCGTTGGATTTTATTCAATCGTCTACAAATTTAACTTCAATCATTTTTTCATGCAATGGCTGCTCCAAGTTCCCTATGAACTTTTTAGAAGCAAGGAGGTTAACTTACCTTGATTTGGAGAAGAATTTCCTTGATGAAATCCCATCAAAGATATCTCATTTGGAGAACTTGACCCATTTAAAGTTAAATTCCAACCAATTATCAACTTTGCCTAAATCATTTGGGAAATTGAAGAACTTGGTTAGTTTGAACATATCTTCAAACTCGTTAACTCATTATCCAGAGGCTATTAGTGATTTGGTGAATTTGGTTGAATTAGATTTATCATATAACGACTTGCACTCACTTCCAGAATCAGTTGGTAATTTAACCAAACTTTCAAAGTTAAACCTTTGTTCCAACAAGTTGAATAAGGTTCTTCCTATTCATATTGGTCAATTGGTATCGTTAAAGAGATTGGATATCCGTTACAACTATATCACCAATATGGATGTCTTGGGGTGCTTGCCTAACTTAGAGGTTTTATATGCTTCTAAGAACAATCTTTCTGCATTTGTTGATAAAATGGAACGATTAAAATTGTTACACTTTGATAAAAACCCAATTACCTTATTGGAATTTGAAAATAAGCTTCCAAACTTGACTGTTTTGAATCTTTCTAGAGCAAAAATCACCAGTATACCATCTGAATTTATTTCTAATATTCCTTATGTTGAAAGGTTAGTTTTAGATAAGAATCACTTGGTCAATTTGCCCAATGAAATTGGATCATTAAAGAAATTGACCTCACTTTCTGTATACGGAAACAACTTGCAAGTGTTGCCCAATACTTTAAGCGAATTATCAAACTTACAATATTTGGATTTGCATTCCAATAATTTGCAAATGTTACCTGATGATATTTGGAGTATGAAGTCGTTGACCTTCTTGAACATATCCTCCAATATCTTAACTACCTTTCCAAACCCTCCTATTGAAGTTGTCAAGTCAATTACTTCTGGTGGAGTGTTTAGAGACATGGACAAGACCCCATCCCCCGCAAATGACCTGACTCCAGACCAATCAAGAAGACCTTCAAGTCAAACTCCACTTGACGACCAAGTATCTCCGAAGACTATGGTTGCGAACAACATCCTCCTGCTAGCAGGCTCTTCTGAAGATGACATAAAGTCTGACAGTAGGAAGAGCTTGGGACATAGCTTACAGTTTTTAATAATGTCTGACAACAGATTGACAAATGATGTTTTTGAATCTGTTCTGTTCTTGAGTCAATTAATGTCGTTAAATTTGTCCTATAATGAGCTTCTGGAGATCCCACCAGGTACACTTGGTAGATTATCAAATATAACCGACATTTATTTATCTGGTAATGACATCACTGCCTTACCAGATGACATTGAGAACTTGAAGCAATTAAAACTTTTGTTCATCAACAATAACAAGTTGGTTTCGTTACCTGCAGAATTAAGTAAGCTTCTTTTATTACAGCACTTGGATGTGGGTTCCAATTTGTTGAGATACAACATTGCCAATTGGCCATATGATTGGAATTGGCATTGGAATAAGAATTTACGGTTTTTGAACTTTGCCGGCAACAAGAGATTTGAAATCAAACAGAGTCATGTCAAGAATCCAGAAACAGGTGAATACTTTGACAGTTTGCTTGTGTTGAAGAACTTGAAGGTATTGAATTTAATTGATGTTACTTTGACCACTCCAGCAGTTCCTGATCAAAACATTGACATGCGTATCAGAACAACGGCCTCTGAACTAGATAATGTTGGCTATGGTGTTGCCGACACGATGGGGCTTCGGGATGTGGTATCCACTCGTGATATCTTCATTCAGAAATATAGAGGTAACGAAGATGAAGTCTTATTCTGTTCATTTGATGGTAAGCTAGGTCATTCCAGCCATGGTCATCGGATCAGCGACGTGGCAAAGAAATTGTTGGTGGCTAAGTTCACAGAGGAATTGAATGGTTTATCTGGCAAGGACACAGTTGAAGATGCCATTAGAAGAGCATTTTTAAGTTTGAACAGAGAAATCAACGGTATTTTGGCTGCTAAGAAGTATGGTCATTTTGTTGCAACACCTGAAATGAGTAAAAGTATGGTCGACTTGAATCTTAACGATGATGCCTTGTCAGGTTGTGCCATTGCCTTCATCTATATCAAAGACAAGAATCTTTATTCTGCCAATATTGGTGATTTGGAAGCAGTGTTATCTCGAGGTAACGGTACTCATGTTATGTTGACGACAAAACACGACCCTACAACTAGAACAGAATTTGAAAGAATAAGAGCAGCTGGTGGATACGTTTCTGGTGATGGAACTTTAGATGGAGAGCTACTGATTTCTCGTGGTGTTGGTTTCTTCAAACACCTACCACACACTCATTGTGGGCCTGATATCGAGCATGTTACTTTGAACACTGCGGATGATGTATTGGTGATTGCAACGCATGTCTTATGGGATTACATATCGTATGACATAGCTGTGGATATTCTTAGACAAGAGAAAGATAATCCTACGTTAGCAGCAGAGAAGTTGAGAGACTTTGCTATAAGTTATGGTGCTACTGACAAGATTTGTGTTAACGTGATTACATTTGGTCAAAAGTTGAAGAAGAGTAGTGGGTTATACAACAACTTGGTAAGAGATCTTGATAGCTATGGATACAAGAAGAAGAGAGAAAAGTCACAGTTTGGAGATTCGGAATTAAGAAGATTGGAAGAGGAGATTTCTCCACCAGTTGGAGAATTGGCATTGGTGTTTACTGATATCAAGAATTCAACATTATTATGGGATGCTTATCCCGTAGCTATGAGATCTGCCATCAAGACTCATAATCAGATCATGCGTCGTCAACTTAGAATCATTGGTGGGTACGAAGTGAAGACCGAAGGTGATGCCTTTATGGTTTCATTCCCCACTCCAACAGCTGCACTTTTATGGTGTTTCACTGTCCAACAACAGTTGCTTACAGCTGATTGGCCGTCTGAGATTTTAGATTCTGATCATTGTTGCCCTATTGCAGACCCCAAGGGAGAGATTATTTTCCGGGGTTTATCCGTTAGAATGGGTATTCATTGGGGACTGCCAGTATGTGAGACTGATATGGTTACTGGGAGAATGGATTATTTTGGACCCATGGTGAATCGTTCCGCACGTATTCAAGGTGTTGCTGATGGAGGACAAATTGCCATAAGTGCTGATTTCTACAGCGAAATGCATACGTTGTATGAGATCCATAGAAGAGTGCTTGTTGGAGAGTCTACACTTGAACAAGAGTATGGAGACAACATAGTTGCTGGAGAGATTATTGAGAAGGAAATTGAATCCATTGAAGAGTCCAAGATCTCCTATGTTGATATTGGGGATAAAAAGTTGAAGGGACTTGAGGCACCTGAGCCTATAACGTTAGCATATCCCAAGAAGTTGGAGTATCGGTACGAACTGTTCAAGAAGGAACTTGACAATAGTGATGAAGACGTTTCAGTGATAAGATATGTGGGATCGCTTCCAGTTGAAGCCATATTTCAACTTCGAACTCTTTCTATGCGTTTGGAAAATGTGTGTGGGTTTTTAAGTGGATCAAAGACCAAGGAGGACTCATTTGCCATGAACTCATCAAAGATTATTGGAAGTAAGATGGAAGGTTCCCTAAGAGAAAAGGATATGATTTCACTTTTAAGCCACGTGGTGACGAGAATTGAGCATTGTGTTCAAGACATTCAACTTCGGGTCGAGATGAATAAATTCAATGGAGGTGATGGATCTCTTTATTCAAATGCAATTAGACCAATGTCTTCAATTATGGAAGAGTTTTCTAAATTGGTACAGGCGTATCAAGAGTTGAAGTCGAAAGCAACATAAGCTGGACTCTACAGACTACATTATTATTATTTAGTTATACTAGGATGCATTCTATATACGATCTGCAATAAGTATCTTCTATGCGTATTCATAGGCAGTACATACATCTGTCGCGTATTCTTTACATGCTTGATTATACACAAATCACGTCCTTACTGCATATACGCATTACCGTCATCGTCTAACATGCAGGTTAATCTGGACTTGGGGTTTTGAAATAGTTAACCACCTTCAAATACCTACCACTACTAGTCATATATACTACGTCACTCAACAACGGGCCGTAACTAACTCCAATGATCCACAGCAGACAAGATCTGGCGACATCGTTGGGTGCGCAATCGCCGACGACACTGACGATGTCGTTTTCACCCGTCGGGTCAAAGGAATCGTTCCAACCGTCTACCAAGATCCAACGATTCCCTTCCTTAAGAGAAGTTCATTATGGCATAACCCTTAGTTCTCGTATGGCAATGCTTGAACGGCGCTCACGTGAAAACGTCGGCTTGGGCCCCCCCACGTTGTTCCATTTAGGCAAGCATTGCAACGGCAACAGTCACGAGTTCATCAAGAACCCATTTGTGGTGGGGGAATACAGACATCAGATACGTAAGGAAGACGATGGATTTGTGGGGTACTATCACTATGTCAACGGTTTGAATGTGTCTGAGGGGTACGCAGCCATAGATCGGTATATATTACTGGTTATGGGCATTCGTTCTGGTAGTGGAGGTAGTAGCTACTACTTCACTAAGGAAAGCTCCGAAACGTTTGCTAATTGTCATAACGAGTTGGTAGTGAGTGTGAACATGTTCAACGTGTTCCACCAAACAGATTTGCATGCGAAATACGTGTTCAGTTTCGGCAACACCCCGTCGTACAAGTCTCCTGTCACCATTGAAAAGTCGTTCCACATTGGCTCGTTCTCAGTTGAGGGAGGAGTCTATAGTAAGGTGCTGATGAGCACGATGTCAGAGATAAGTGTCCAGTCATATTGGAACGAATTGTATGCATCGGAGATCTTACGACTAGTTTTACATTTGGATAATCCTTCGCTTCAGGTGTCCGGGTTGGTGTCGTTGCCCGACTGTCTTGAGGATTCTGAACGAATGATTGAAGCAGTGCATTGCTTGGTGTCGTTTCTTCCTCGAGGTTCTTCGACTGGTTCAATTGCTTCTAAAGGGGCTTCCACGGGCAACGATGATGCGTCTACGTTGCGATACCAGAATAACTTGATCCAAGCATTAACCCGGATTTGTGCTTCGGACGTTTCAGGTAATGGCTCCAGTTACACCATTGACCAAATACGGAAGCATTACCCCGTAGGGGATTGGGATTACGTGATCTTAAAACTATTAAAAGTACAACTAGGCTCAAATAACGAGCAATCGTTCATCAAGTTAATCCATGACCATTTGAAATTGGACTCCATAAGCACTCAACTGGCTTTAATTATGTTGGAGCAAATTAACTTCCTTATAAGCAGAAAACACTTTGAAACGGCATTATTACTTGCTAAACGATGTGTTCAATTACTCCCACTTTCCTTTGATGCATGGCACACCTTGGCCCTTTGTTATATTTTGTTGGAGAACTATGAAAAGGCCCTCACAGTCATGAATGCCTGTCCGGTCTTACTTTCTTCCAGAAACCAGAAGACGGACTTAAATGTCACTGCTGATACTAAAGATTTCTTTAATTGGATTTTTTTGGAAAGACTAAACACCGAAACCGAGGCCATCTCCGAAACAACCTTCAATTCTTATTTCCCTCCGATCCAATCGTCACAGTCAGTTGATCTTGCGTCTATGAAATCGCTTTGGAAAGACTTGTTCATATTCAATTCCCATAGAAGACATCCTATATCTGGAAATGTCTTTTATCAGTCCCCATTAACCAATTGTACTCCGAAGGAACTCTCGTCGATCTCCCCCAGCTTGATAAACGTTTGTGGTCCAGGGAACTCCAAGAACCTTTTATCGTCCCAATCTTGTGGCTCTGCGTCCACTTCCATATTAACATTTACTAGAGACTCCACTTGGGGGAGATGCTATTCCTTATTGTCGATAATAGTTGCCAAAATTGGCTGGGATAGACTTTTACAAGTGAAGGAAAGAGCTTTTAAGCAAGACCCAGTGACTCCAATAAATAGTACTACATTTGCTGCTGGACATGGACAACAAGATTACATTGTTAATCATAAATATCTAGACACTAAGGATATATGTGGATCTTGGTTTGAAGAGTTGATTACCATACTTTACGATGACTACAATGTCCTCTACAAGTTAACGTACCAGCACACCAACCATTCTGCTATTGAGTGGGAGATGTTGGGTTTAGTCGGGTGGAACTGCAAATATAACTTGAAGGAATCGATCTTATCCTTATTCACGAGTGTCAAGGCATCGCATCTTAACCAGGGAGATTTCGACTACTTTGGTACAGTCCAATTGTTGGAGATTTACTATGAGTTTGTTCTAAGTGAAGTTCTGTATTCAAATATCGACTCTTACCACGACGATTACAGTGAAACCTTCCTTGATAACAAATTGATTCTACGAAATGCAAAGAAGGATGGAGTCTTGGAAGACTTTGTGGAGATAATTACGAAACAATGTCTAACATTGGACTTTATACTTACTTTGATTATGCAACTAGTCAGTTGGAACGTAAGATGGTACCAGCTTTCCCCAAATTACTTGGTGGTTAAACTATTGAACCATCTTTGTTTGATGCACGATGTGTTGACCATTAAAAGTCAGTTCCGAATTCTTTTCGAACAGAACAAACAGGTAAAGAAGAAGGTCTATAAGACAAGATACACAATTTCATCCTATTTTCTGAATGGTGGTACATCTTCAACATCCTCAACGGCTGAAAATGACCATACAACAACAAACAAGCAATTGGTGATTCACGAACAAGATACTATACTTATGTATCTTGAGTCGCTTCTAGATCGAATTGAAAAGAATATTGAAGGAGTCTAACAATATAAGGCTACCACATACATTATGCATTATGACTATTGCGTTTTCTTTATGCTCTTCTGCTTGCCCAACACCTTCTTTCTTTGTTTGATCATATATGTGTACAACATATAGAACCCAGGGATATAGGTAAGCAAGATGAGCGTCAACAACCAGGAATACCAGGCACCTACGGTCTTTTCGGCTTCGTTCAATGACAAGTAGATCATGGCCACTTCGGATGACACTCCCGTGGGGTACAACACATAAAAGGTGGTGTACCTCAACCAAGTCAACCATTCAGGAACATACGAAGGACCTTGCAAGTTAGCAGCATAGTATGCATATCTAATGATCTCGGTGATAGACCAACTCAAACACAAGGTGATATAAACCCAATGGGAATTGGCTGGTGAATTGGGTAACACTTCAAACACTCCCCACACAATAAGCAATCTGGAAAACACTTGGGTCACAGTAGTGAACAAGGGAGACTTCACATAACCCATAGCGGAATTAAAGATCTCAATGACGGCCAATGATTGGATCAACGTAGTGACCCAATGAGTCTTCTCAAACAAGATTGGTTGCCCTAGGAAGAGCCCTAAAAATACAGTGTTGAAAAACACAATTGTCCATAACGAAGTGGAGGTTGAGTTGTAAGCAATGAGGTATCTGTTGGGATGAGACTGAGGCTTAGAACCTGGCTGGGTTGAGGAAGATGGTTCTGTCATTGGTGAAGAAGAAATGAACTACACTCTGAGATCATATTGAATAGCTTTTGTTGAGCTGGAGTTATTATCTTTTCATTGGGTGGTGCACGACATCTGTGATAAAAGTGAGGGTTGCTTCGATGTACGTGTATGCATATACATAGGCATGTACATGTATGTTAAAGCATAGAAATATGTATATAGTATACGAATAGAATATGTATAGTTAAGTTTGTTAAAGCTTAGTACAATGTTATTGATGAAACAACAAGTTTGTTTGAACCAAAAAGAATTATTACTCGTATCAAAGTCAATTGAAGTTGTTGTGACATTAACGTTACTATATGAAAAATCCTGAAAACGAATATCCCTGAAGAAGTTGTCTTCAGATTAGCTTTGAATTCAATAGAAAAGTTAAACTTCGTAAAATTCATATGTGTGGAAGTACGCATAGAAAATTGAAGCAACTGTAATAACCTACTTCTTTACCTTATTCTTCAACACTTTTCTTCTTTGTCTCCACATGTGCCTATACAACTGAATGAACCCAGGTATATACAACACCAAGCCAAATATCAAGTAGTAGCGATATAATCCACCGGCATAAGGAATCGAAAGATACACAGTAATCCATTCACAAGCCAACCCTAAAGGATATAAAACAATAAATAATGAATACCGAAGCCATTTAAGTGCATAAGGCGGCTTGCCATCGTAGAAATAGTTAATGATGTAGTAACCATATCTAAGCAATTCAGTTATGGTCCAAGCGTAGCTTAAGCCTATGAAAGAGCCAAAATTCCAATTAGCTGGACTCTGGGGTAAATTCTGGCATATACCTATGGTTATCAGTAACCGTGCAAAGAATTGAAGACAAGTGATGGGTAATGAGGATTTTACAAGTCCGAGACCGGCATGGATGATTTCGAAGATGGCATTCATGTTCTGGACCGCTATTAAGAGTTTATGAGGGTTCTTAGCAGCGGATTTAATAATGTATACACATCGGACTTTAAACTCAAATGGAACATTTGGCAGCAAGTAGATGTAAGAGTCTATGAAGGTCCGATTAAGCACTAGAAGCCACAGTAGCCACGCAATGATATTGTAGCATAAGAGATACCGAGAAGACGACATGATGATGATGAGAAGAAAGAAGAATATTTATACTTCCTATAGCTACATTCGCTTCCCTATATATATAAGGCAGTGGCCTCGATTGCTAATGCGGCAGGAACGTTTCCTAAAACGGAAAGATGGAAACCCGCCAAATTATGGGGTTACTATATGCAGTATATCAATACACTAAATTTATTAATTATTTAATAGTAGTTCACTTTATATATACAAGATCAGTCCAGCCCATCTTCATATTGCTTTAACAACGTTTTCAATCCTTCAACGTCATTGGCTACAACATTATGATCCCAATCCACAACCAAAGGGGCTTTGAATATTGATTGTCTGATTTTTTCCTTCTCCAGAGCTTCAAACGCTTCATAGATCATTGAGTATTCTCCTTCATTGAACATGTTGGGTCCCAATCCCTTTATGGTAGAATAATGGATGCCGGTTTGTTTCAAAGTCTGGGGGATATCCAGTTCTCGGTCATGTAACAAAGGATAGCATTTGTCTAACACCAGTTTATTCTTATCGTTGGTCACCAATGATTTGTATTGATCATAAGTAGGCATTCTATTCTCTGCCACATCAAGTTGGAACTTATCCTTTTCGGAGTTGAGCTTCTCGTATGCCTTGTTTAAAGTCTGATACACCTTTGCCGACACAGGTCTTGCATCGGTGAATATGGAAATGACTCCGGGCGAATTCTGCAACGTTCTGAAGAGCGACATTGTAAATCGGTTATTGTAAGAAGAGCAATTGATGAAGTTGCAGTAGTGGGAATCAATGATATTATTTGGGGAGTGGCTCTATTTATATTTGCTTTATCGGATCGAATGGACTTTATTGTCCGTTGACTCAGTGACTGCATATAAAGGAGTCACTTGCTCGGCTTCACGGAGATGCCCCAATTAGATAAAACACCGGGGCTTCGGAACAAGAGATGTCCATGCATAGAACGGTCGGAGAAACCCTCGGAATTCGCGACAACGCTCAGGTGGAAATCTTGAGGCTTCTGGATTGCTCCCTTGCTACGTGAATTAAACGTTAGGCATGAAGAGAACATTCCAAATATTCTTTAGGAGAATGACGAAAGATTTAATACACAAATGCAATAAAGAGGTTAGTTTGGAGTTATACCCAACAATATGGGGACAATGCTGAATATGGGGTTATATCTGAATAAATGTCGCCATTCCTCTGTATGCAGCGTTTATCCGGGTAACACATTCGATATTCTTATCGTCACGTGACTTGACTGAACCCATACCGTAGAATAATGTGGCTACGCAAATCAAAATTTAGACGTATCACATTCCTCCCTTCATCAACTCTTCATTCTGTCTGTCTGTCAGCCTACCTTTCTGATGTGTCGGTTTATGATATATAAAGGAAGAGAAAGCATGGTGCTTTCTGACTTGCTTACCAAACCTGCCCATTCGATCATCAACCAATCATTTGATTCACGGCTAAGACTCGATATGAGGAACCCCATTAACGGAGACGGCTTTGGAGTTGGATATTATGTGTCCACTTCGGACGGACGGGACTCAAATGATCCATGTGTTTTCAAAGCTATCACTCCAGCTTGGAATAACGTCAACTTGAACAACCTTTCAAGATGTACTCAATCCAAACTAGTTTTTGCTCATGTGAGAGCTCTGACCCAGGGAGTCCTTTCTGAATCCAATTGCCACCCTTTCTTCTATGGCAAGATCATGTTTATGCACAACGGAGGAGTTTCAGGTTTCAACAACATCAAGAAACAACTCATCACTCACATCGACAATCAGTTCTTTATGCTTATCCAGGGTTCAACAGACTCAGAATGTTGTTTCGCTTTATTCCTTGATACGCTCTATCGAATGGGGTATAACCCATCCGACTCAACCGTCAAGTTCTCTCATAAGATCTTGAGAACGGCCTTGTTGAAGACCATAGCCATCTTGAAGGACTACCAGCTATCATTTACCACAGAGCCTTCACTCTTGAACTTTGCTGTCACCGATGGTGAGTCTGTAGTGGTTTCAAGATACGTCTCCCTGAAGACCGATGAAGCGGCTTCGTTGTATTTCTCTACTGGATCCAAGTTCTTTGAATATGAACCCGGGCATTTCAAGATGGAAAGATTAAATCGGTCACAAAATGTCGTGTTTATACTGTCTGAACCATTAACATTTGAAAGAGGTGATTGGATAACTGTTCCTACAAATACCATTTTGACCATCACCAAAAGTAATACGGTGTTAATGCATCCCATTAAGGACGAGTTTTACGATTTAAATATCGAAAGATCAAGTGGCTTGGCTATGAGTAAAGGTTTAATTGGTGGTGTGCCCATTAAAACAGATGATCCACATATTAGTATGTCTAATATTGACTCGGATCTTGATTCCAGTGTTCCTCCTTTGGCCCGAGAAGGTAGAACCACTTTACCGGTGAATTGAAATGAAAATTACTTATATGTTTATTGAAAAGAGCGAACGACTTGAAAATTTTATACGGATGAAAGGAAGTCATCATCATGTCTTCTTTTTTTTATTATTATTATTCTTCTTATGGTTCTTTTTGGTTGCTTGTTTAATCTGTGGTTGTTTAATGTCTTCCTTTGCATCAATAATATCATTATTATTATCATCATCATCATCAGCATTATCATCAGCATCATTAGGTTGCTCTTCAGGAGCGAAGTCTTGGTCATCGGCATTCTCTTGATGACTGAAACTTGAAAGAAGTTCTCCTTGTGCATCATACAACGAGTTACTTTTTTTATACGATAAACCATCGTCATTAGGGTCAATATAATCCTCGTCATTATCATTATTATATGTCATGGGTTGTTCTTCTTCATCATCACTGGAATCGTCATCCATCAATCCAGCGCTGCTTTTCACCAATGGGGATTCAGCATTGGATTTGGTATGCACTTGAGTAGAAAAATAATTGGAAAACTCATCATCTGATCCACTATCATCAGATTTGACTTCATCTGGTATCAAATATTCATTGTGTGGAGCTGGAGATGAAGTTAATAAGCCTAAAGGTGACGATATATCTTGACCTAAAAGATGATCTTCATCATTATGTTCATTATTATCATTTTCAATGGCTTGTTCTTCTTCATCATCATCATCTGCTTCTTCTTCTTCCTCATCGTCATCATCATCTCGAACAAGATGGACACCATGATCAAGAACCTTTTCTTCATTCAGTTCAAATTCAATCTTGAAGCCAGAATTATCCAAGATCTCACCCACACCTTCATCAAAGGTGGTGGTGTCATTGGTGACATCTTCATCTTCTTCACAACCTCCTAATATGGCATTGTACTTTTCTCGGGTATCCAAAAGGATGTCGGTGACATAATCTTCCCATTGTTGACTTTCGATACGACGATCTATGAGTTCACTCAAGCTATGCGGTGGGAAAGATTGAATAAACTTGACCACCTCTTCGGCAATCAACGTCAAATGTCCCATGTATCCCAATCTAAGACCATTGTGAGTCTGTTCATAATCAGCACATAGCTGTTGACCTCGGACAATTTTCTCGGTGATTTCTCCCGAGTCAAATAAGTCAATGGCCAAAAACTTATTGAATCCAATGTCCATAGACCCATTCAACACTTGCTGGACAATGTCAAACACCACATTATGTAAAAAATTGTTCCATTGGAACTTGAAGAACATCTCCAAGATATTGGATACAATTTGAGTATCATAAAGAGCAATTTTCAAATGATCTCCAATGACTGGATTGACTCGGAGTTGTTCCTCGGTCAAATTCGCATTGACATGACTTTCTTCTGTATCTTCATCATACGTTTCATTATGCAAGCTTTCGTTAAACGACTCAATAGTATCATTAACATAATCATCAGTAAACCCATCGTTATTAGTGGTGGTTGTACCAGAATTAGTGGTAGTCAAATTATTATTACTAGAGATACCACCTGCGGGGCTACCCACTACGTCTTCTGGGAGGGTAATGGTTTCATTATATTTGAAACTTATTGGATCATATTCTTTCATTTTAAATCTCATTTCATCTCTTTCCTTCACAATATCAAACCCTTTAGTATCATTTAATAGCTGCATATTGGAACAATGTAACAATTCTGCTATCAATTCACATATTTTGAATCTTTCAAACCCAAGTGGTTCGATTTCTCCAAAGGGAGTTTTCAAGGCTCCTCTTTCATGTTCATCGACCAAAAGTTTATTGAAATTGTCGATATTATCACCGAAAACTTGGAGTAAATGTCCCAAATAAATCGGGTCTCTACCGTTTGGAGGATGGCTATCAACCGTAATGTACAACACAGGCATGACATCATAATCCGAGTTGTTCTTTCTAATGATCTCTATAATGATCCCCACTCCATTGGCCAAGGCGTAGCCACCTTTAAGCATAATGTCGCATAATCGCTTCATTTGATCATACGAAGCCAATTCTCTAGTCAATTCATTAGGTCCGATAGTGGAATTATCAGCAGTTGAATTGGCTGAAATGGTAATGAGAGCTTTTAAAAGGTCAGCAGCTGAACTTTGTCTGATAATTGAGTCATCATGATCAACTGCCAGGTGGTCATCGTCAGTTTCTGTCAGTTCATGATCACCCATCAGTCCATCATGATCATTCGTATCCAAAGCATTAATTAAGTGAGTAATAAGATCTTGTTTCTGTAAAAAGTCAATGATCCCCGTAGAATTGTCTGGTTTATCGGTTGATATCAACTTTAGCAAGAAATCCATCAATGGAGGATTAGACAAATGGTTCATGAACTTCTCCACCAATGACAGTTGGTTTTCAATCAAATACGTGATCATCTCGTCACACTTCATGTCTAACAAATGTTCCATAATCTTCATGAAATACGTCGACAAGTTGATGGAAAGATGCTCTTTATAATCGAGAATCGACCATAATCGGTTCAAATTCTCCGTGGAAATCATCACGGTATCGGTTAACGACCAAACATCGGCACTAAGAATCTCGGCAGCGAGAGTTGCTCTTCTGGTAGCCATTTCTTCATCTGATTCTTCTTCCTCCGATTCTATCATTTCCGTCTCCTCAGAATCAGAGTCAGCTTCAGCGTCGGAGTCGTCAGAGTCAGCCTTGTCAGAGTCAGCCTTATCACAATCGGTCTTCTCCGAGTCACCTTCAGTCTTCTCGGAATCAACTTCAACCTTTTCAGTGTCAGCTTCTGTCTTCCCTTCATCCGTCTTCTCTTCATCCTTTCCGATACTCAAATCAGTCATTTGAACCAGTAATCTTTTTGTCTCCTCCAAATGACCATCGTGGATCACCAAATCAACCAACAAACTGAGCACCTTCTCGTCCCGCAAGAACTCAAGCACCAACGCATTGTTTGAAAGAAGTTCCTGGAGCAAATCGTTCTCATCCAAAAGTAAAAGTAAAACGTCCAATGTTGACGAAGTTGACGGATGTGACGAGTCACAATCTGACAGGTCAGATTTCAATGTTTGATCCCGCGAGTTGTACCCGTCCAAAATCGACAGAATGTTCGAGAACGACGTGATGCCATTACTAAACTTCCAGAATGACCCGGACATCGTTAATAGCTGGTGGTGCCAAGGTTGATGTTGATGCTGTTGATGGTGGAGTTAACTTTTTGTTGGTCGGTCAGTGGCTTTGTGTCAGAAAAATTTTCATACCGAAAAAAAAAGTGCCCTAACAGTACAGTACTATACACTGACTGTGCACTGACTATACACTGGCTATACGCTCTTAGTACTGCCATACACTGTATTACTACCGTTAGTATATACTATACACTGCTAGTACTATAACGGACCGTGCTGCACTGTACTTACTCCATACTGCTGTCCATTAGTCTCATAGCTACTTGCTCCCCACAGTTACTGGTTACTGCTTCCCACTGTCCCACGCCTCCACTATGCTCAGATCATCAGCTCGATTCTCCCTGACTCTCTCGGCACTAAAGTCAGATTCTATCGCCGGAAAGAACCTCTACGCCGTCTTCCGCTTACACAACTTGCCCTACTTGGTCACTAAAGGTGATAAAGTCATCTTACCCTTCAAAATGAAAAATGTCAATGTCGGCGATAAACTTAATTTGACCGATGTCATAACCTTGGGATCTCCTCATTATACATACACTCAAAAGGAAGGTATCAGCGAGCAATTGTTCAAATTGACAGCTAACGTCACAGAAGTCACAAGAGAACCCTATTATGAAGTGATTAAGACAAGACCAAGATGCAGAAGAAAGAAGATCGTTCCCGTACAACCCTTTCAAACGGTTTTGACCATTGATACATTGAAGTTAGCCTAACATTAAACGTTAGTATCTGCGACATTATAGTTAACGTTGGTTCCAGCACAGCGTATCATAGCTTATCATAGCTTCCTTAATATCATCAACTGTAAATAGAAATAATATCATCATTCCAAAGATTATCATCAAATAGAAATAATATCCTATTCCAAGTACCCACTCTTTCTCGAGTTATACTTAACCATTTGGGCCAACAGGGTCTTCTCAAATACAAAATCACCATCTTCTTTCATAAATGAATGCCCTAGCAATTGCTTTGCTGTAGGTCGGGCTTCAGGATTAATAGTGAAACATTTCTCAAGGAAATCTCGAGCATCATTGGTGATATCTATATCTTTGGGGATTGGAGGTGCCAGTTTGGTCTTACCAATTAAATAAATGGCTCGAACCAACGCTTCATTGGCCCAGGGTCTGTTCCCAGCTAACATCTCCAATACAACACACCCTAACGACCAAATATCAACTTTGGCACTGTATCCTTCCTTCTTCTCATTGACATTACTATCAATGACTTCAGGAGCCATCCAGAAGATGGTCCCTTGCATCGACATTTCGGGAATATTCTTGTAAACATTGTCAGATTGTTCCTTCTTGGATATACCGAAATCAGATATTTTGCAAGTACCATCAATCTCCAATAACAAGTTATCGGCTTTTAAATCCCGATGAAGAATCCCATTCAAATGTAGATATTCTAACCCACTCAATACTTGTCTGGTGATGAACCGGACCAAAGGATCTTCAAATTTACCATAACTATTCAAACAATATCCAACAGATCCTCCTCCAACATACTCAAGAAATAAACTGGCAGTGTTCCCAATATGCTCAAACCCTAAATATTGAACTATATTGATATGATCCAAATCTTTCATGGTCTCCACCTCTTTGTGGAAGGCATCAAATCTATCTCCAGGTGATTTAATCCCCAGCAGAAGTGTAACTTGTTTCACTGCTAGCATTTCTCCTGTGGTAACGTTCAAGGCAAGATACACTTCTCCAAAAGATCCTCGGCCTATTAGTTCACCTTTAATCCACCGGAACTCTTCGAATTTCCCATTCTTATTGTTTCGGATCCGACTAACAGATCCCTTTTCAATTTCTTTGGGGGTAACTTCCACAATATTTTGACCCCACATCTTGGTATTGCTTCTTGCCAACCCAAATTGGTTATTATTATCAACTATAACGTCACTGTTGCTAATAATATTATCATTGAAATTGGTTTCATAAGTATTGGGGGGAGAGATTTTTCTGGCTTCATTGAATCTTCTCTGTCCTTCATTGGCAACAACTCTAATAGACTTCATTCTTCGTCCGGGGAATCGAAGAGTATTCTCTCTTTCCATCATGGTATCATCTAAAGACTCAGATGGTGGATTTATAGGTGATATATTGGCATTGGAAAATGTTCGTGATATAGTAGGCTTTCTAGCAAACATTTGATGACCGATTTCAACAGATGTTAATGATGAATTGGCACTGGTGGTGATTGGAGTAACTGAACCAGCTTCTATAATGGGTTTATCCAAGTTGGTATGGGGGAAGAACTTCTCAAGATTTTTATAAACTTCATCAACAGGTGGTCTAACATGCATTGGAGTATTACTCTTCTGTCTATACTTATTTCTGTTGCTGTCACTATTGCAGCTGGAGTTTTTATCATCATCAACAATAAAACTATCATCATTGATCTCATAACTGGCATTGCTATTTCTTTTGCCAACATCGGGCATTGGATGAGCAAAGAAATCAGATCCGGAAGAATCACTATCACTATTCTCATCACAACCTTCAATTGGAGTAAGATTCATTTGGGGGAAACTAATGTTACTCTCTTTAAAAGGATCAAACTCTACTTCTTTCTTAGTCATCTTTAAGTTCACAGAAGTAACTCTTCTGCTTCCTCGTCTTCTTAGGGACTCATTTATACTATTTGATCTCAGGGACATAATCAGATCATCAGAAGATATCGATGGCAGTTGAGACAATTTATTGGAAAGGGTATTCTTTCTTAATTTGGTGGTAGTAGTAGCATTAGAAGTATCTCTTGGTGGGGGTGGTGGGGGTGCTCTTTTGGCCACTATATTAGTGACGTTCCGTTTCTCTCCATCCAGCAGATGCTCTGACTTCATCGTGGAAACACTTTTAATCGAGGGGGATCTGTGTATGGAAGTTGAAACTTCTGGGATCGTTTCTTCGATGGTCTTGGTAGAAGATGAACTCCGGGGTCCTTCCGAAATGATAGTTGATGCAGTTATAGGTGAAGTCAAAGTGTTCGAAATAGAAGATACATGGATGCTTTGGATTTGCTTTGGTCTTTTATTTTCAACAGACCTTCTTCTATTGAAATCAATGACTGGCTTCTCATCTCGAATTACCTTAAAGGAATTGCTATTGGCAGGAGATATGGAGGTATTAATCAGAAGAACAGGTGTTTTGGCCTTGGGGATTATTGGAGGTAACTTCAAGTTCATTAAGTGTGACCCAACTGATAATCTTGACTCGTCAACAATATCTAAGCCCGATGGTGTTTGGTGGTGATATTGTTGTGAAGGTATCTTTCCATCTTTGTAAGACCAATAATCAACTTGGTGGGCATTAGGACGAGTTAAATACTCGGGAGTCGCTGGATATTGTTTCCCACCACCATCTGGTCTCATTTCAAATGATTTGGAATCAGATGATGATGTAGATATCGTGTTGGTTGTATTTGGAGATGAAAGATGTTGAGAAACATAAAACTTATAGTGCTTCCTTTGAATTGCAAGTAATAATAATTCATTGGATAAAGGGAAACCCTCTCTTGAGTTCAATTCGGTCATGTGAATACAGATTTGACCGATTTTAAGTAATCCTAACCCTTCGATTATTCTGTTCCTAACCAAATTGGCATTCAAACACTCAATACTAGGGATTTCAATTGCGGTAAACAGTTTATTGTCTTTAGTAATAAGCAACGTGGTGATTGGAGTACTTTCCATTCTGGGTGTAGGTAGGAATCTCTCGTCAATGCCCTTAAGAGCTCCTGCTGCTGCTCCTGCTCCTCTGCTCATATTGTCGCTGATTGTGGGATTGTGATTCTGCCAGCCATCATAGCTTGAGGCTGGTCTCACGGGTTTATCGACTGACAAGCTGCTTTTCTGGCTATCATTCAGAACGCTTCGTTGGCCGCATTCAAATGTTGATAACGGTCTGGTTGATTTTTCACCTGCTGAAGTTGACCTAAAATTCTGAGCAGCAGTATATGGCAGTGAAGTTTCATTTGAAAGGTGTTGAATGAATTTAGCAGTTGGTAGAATCTTTGATTGTTTGACATTCAGAATAGGGGAAGTTTTGGCAGTATTTGCTGACTTTTCATTGGTGATTTTCCTCCAACTGAAAATACTGTTTCTTTTAGAAGATTCACCAGAAGATCCTTGATTTTTGGTAGTTCCAGATGTTGATGATGAAGAAATCGATGAAGATTTCCCCTTGCTAAGGTCGTCTGTCTTTGATTTGCTGGTATTGATTGTAGTAGTAGAAGAAGCAGAAGTGGAGGAGGATGGAATAGCATTATTATTATTACTGTTATGACCGGACTTCAACTCTATAGGAGGTGCATTGGTTGGTTCAACTAATAAACTTGACCTTTGTTCTGAATGGGACGACTTTTTGAAAAACATATTATGTGGAGAATGGTTTGAATCCTTTTTAGAGGAATCAACGAATGAAAATGGTCTGGAAGGTGTAGGAATGGAACTTGAATTGCTTGAACCATTGGAAGAAATAGAACTCATGTACTTATGACCTTTAGCTCCCCCACTACTCCCTCCAACAGCAGATATGGGGGACACTATATATTCATGAGAACTCTTTCTTGTTTCAGGTTTCCTATCTAAAGCGTATTCCTCCTTTTTAATAAGCTCAATGAACCTTTCAATAGTGCTGTATTCATCGCTGGTGTCAATATACTTGACAAACTGTTGCCAGGTACTTGAATTGATATCATAATTACCAATTTCAAGGAACCTATTTCCGGAGATTTCATTCTTTCGAAACGTTTCCTTCCAGGTATCATTAAACTTATTGTTTTCAAGCCATCGTACAACGTTCTCAATGCTCCAGGGGTCAGAATGAGATGCCGTGGCCATCATGGCATAATTAACAAAACGACGGTGTTTGGCATCTTTCATATTGTTGATAGTGGACGCTGTGGAGGTTGAAGACACCGTTGAAGACGTTGAATCTGTACGGAAATGGTTCTGATGAGAAGGATCAGAGTCAGTCATCGTCGTCGATGATGACAAGGATGATGGTTGTAGTTCTTGCCTTTTATTGGTATAGGACTCGGGTAAAGGTGGTGGTTGTGCTCCTGCTCCTCTATGCTGTTCTGGCCAGTGACCCAAGCTATCCTCGGAAGACTTGGTAGACGACAGAACATCCAACGTACTCTTGCTATCTCTGTACTCCTTAAGTAGCAGTCCAATTGCGCTATTGGGGTTGGAATGGCCTGGCGAATCACCGTAGTCGCTATCGGAGTTCAACTGGGGTGATACAAACTCTTCCATCATGTCAAGAGTGGCTGTGGTGGTGGCCAGATTAGGCACAGCGAACTGGTTACCGTAAATAGGAGTCAAGATAGTACGGTTATTCGAAGGTAGCACATCTTTTCCACTGCCATCACCTTGTGAAGATGATGGTATAAAGTTGAAGTTGTCCGTTATAGTACTGTCATTATCCCCAGGTGAGGTCATACCATCAGTCAGATAAGACACAGCACTATCAGAAAACACTCGTTGTTGCTGGTGCAGTTGCAGCACTAGTTGCTGTTGTTGTTGTTGTTCTCCTGAAGATGTCAAGTACTCCGTTCGAAGCCCACTCTGCGTTAGGGTCAACCCCAGTCCCAGGCCCAGGCCCAGGCCCAGAGCCAGTGCTAACGCCATAGAGCTGCTCTCGCTGGTAATGCTGCCTCTGGACTCGTTCCGGGTGGACGCAAAGGGGATCCGTATCCGTTGTGCATCATAACTGACCGATCTTCGTTTAGATGTATCGTGTTTAGGAGGTACTAGCATGGCAAAATGGTAACTAGTTATACTAATGGAGCCACTCTCATTCAGACCAATCAAGGACTTCAATATGACCTATCACAATTGGAGAAAGTTCTTATCAACTGGCTGCAGCGACTCGTACTAATTAAGGATGTGTATTCACTCACTGTATGGAGCTGTTTAAGATTTTCCTTTACATAACTGCAAAAACAATACAAACATCAACAACTATAAATAGAGGCTGACCCCCCCATATTTTGTGGTAGTTGAAGTCATCACGGTAATACACGGCATTATACGGCTTGGCTCGGACTTTGCACAGTGAATTACCCTATACCAATAAGTGTGATCTGGTCTCCATTATGGTGCTATGGTGCCCTCTGATTTGGATGGTGTATTTGATACGACACTTTTAGCTCTAGCGGCTCTACCCACTACCCCACAGGTCTCGTACCCGCAGGCGTTGAACAAATGTATAGAGTCGGTGGTTAGTCTTCTCGGATATAAGACTCCGGAAGCATGTCAACGGGTCACGGTGAGGTCGTCCTCGTCGCTGCCGTCCTCCTCTGATGCCTCGCTTCTTGACCTTGCTATTGGATGTGATGGCCATGGCACGATGACTCAACAGGAGCTCATTGTCGACGTTAAACGTCTATGTCAACTCAACAACAATTATAATGATAATAGCAAACTTGTTGGTCACTTACTGCTTCTAATTGATGGGGTGGAATCGTTGTTAAGGGATTCCCAAGCTTATATCGTGACGTTCCTTGCATCTTGCCTTGAACCGTACCACTGCAACACTCATCGAGGTCCGGCTCAGTCACAGCTTATGTCTGAGATTGAATCTCGGGACATACTTAACTTATACAACACTACAGATTTGGGTTCTGATCATCGTGATGATGTGAAGTTCTTGTCTACAGACCCAGAACTTAATAGACTCTTTAAAATAGTGGTGAATGTGATCATGAACAACAATAATATTGTTGATATGAGCCAAGTTGCTCAAGTCCTATGGGATTCCTACGTCAAGGTGCAACACGTTGTGAATTATCAAGTATTAAACTTTGTATTTCATGAACGAAAACTAGCTTTATTCAATCGTTTCTTCTTGCAACCTGATCTGAATGGATGGAGATTACTTCCTTCGGAATATGATCAAGTTTCTTCAATCGTACTTTCTGCCTATTCGTTCCTTCCCTTTGGCATTGTACAACCAGTTGCCGTTAAGCACGAAGTACAATCTGATACTCCTCCGGTTTCGGCAATATCCACTACGTCAATGCTATCATTAAGTAGACCTGATAGAGGAGAATTGATAGCAAGGTTACGGGAATTGGTGCCTATATTAAAGGATTACAACATCATTATTCTGGAATCATTTCCATCTGTTCTTAAATATTATTTTGATTTGGTTTATGAACAAGTGTTTGAATGGCTACTTGTGGATGACTATAAATATATCACGGATCTTCTTCGAGTTGTCAATCAAATTGTTGATTTCAACAATGAAGACACTTCCACAGCCATACCTAAAGATGACATTCTTGTGTTGGTGAAAGAATTGGTGGGTTTACAGAAGATGCTTATGATGTGGGATCCTCCTGATACCAGGTCTACAATCACTATGAGACTTGCAAGATATGAATGGTTCAAATCAACTCAATGTCGAGAAAAGTTCTTCAAAACATGGAATAATTCCTTACTTAAGGTTTGCAATCTCGATATTCTATGTACTGAAGAGTTTATGACCCGATTGAAAGTGGCTAAACTCCGATACTGGCTTGGGGTTTGGTATGGGAAAACCATACGATTTGACCGGCTTTCATTGGAAGTCCGAGGCTATTATCAACAGAAATTGCTTGTGCGTTACTTTGTGGGCAGAGTCATTGGTAAAGTAGAAGAGTTGGTCCTTAAGGATGAAGTAGCTGACAACTTTCGATTGAAGAAATATATGAAACGATGGAGAACCCGAATAAACAGCATCAATGACAAGGAAAATAACGCCATAGCCACTTTCAACTTCCATTTGATGCAGAAATACTTTGATATAATCTATGTTAAGGCCTCCCAGACTCAAAAGAAGCTGCAATTGTTAAGAGAAAAGGAACAGGCTTTCACTGTCAGGTACTATAAAGAATTAAAGGATAAAGCTCTCAAGTTATGGTTGGCTAAATTGGCAAGTAATATTGTACCGGAGACGGAAGATCCCTCTTGCATTGGTAAGAAACTATCACAATTAACCATAACTGAGAGTAACTATATCTTAAACAAGTTTTGGTATGCATGGAAACAACAGCATTCACTCCATAGAAGCTACAGCACAGTGGTTCGACTGCGTGAAGCTAGTATTTTGAGGTATGCATTTTCTCTCTGGCATTTGAAGTCAAGTATGGTGCGTGAAAGTGAAACGTTCCGGTTCCACCAGGATTTGGCATCAGCAAAGTTTGCGTTGAAGTACTGGAAGCAACAGAAAGACTTGCGAGTCATGGCCAGAGGGTTTTATGAGAAGAAATCCCGAAGCAAATGGTTTAAAATCTGGGAAAAGTCCCATATAATGAGCGATAAGAAGCGTACGTTTCAACTGGAGCTTGAAACGGCCAGGCTAGTCCAAGTATTTAAGATGTGGAGACTTGAAATGAAGCTTCAGGTGCAGTTGAAGAGTACTAGAAACAGCCAAAATTATTGGTTAAAGCTTTGGAAGGCCAAATTATATGAGATTCAATTACAGAAAGAAAAGGCCAACAGCATATACAATGCTAAGATTATTACATTTAGCACGAACTTATGGCACTCCAAGGAAAGGAAACTACAGATATTGGCTTCCACAGCTGATAATATTGTTAAAAGAAGGGTGCTATTGAGGCTACAAACTAAAATATCAAACCTAAAAGAAGTTGAAGCTCTTGTACGAGGGTCTAGTTCTCGAGATTATGATCTGTGGATGACTTTGAAGTGTTGTTTCGTCATTTGGTATCAAAAATACCTTAAGAATCGTGAAAGAATGGCCGAGTTCAAAATCAGACAGTTTGACGTTGAGTATGTTGTGCCCAACTTGCTACGTAAGACACTCACTACGTGGGTGGGACGATATAATGATAGTTTGCGAACCAAAGAGCATTTGAATGCCATTTGCAACAATTATTTATCTTCACATCCCATGAGAAGGGACTACTTTGAGAAATGGCTTTCATTGATGGTAGTTAATGCTGAATTTAATGATAAAGCACTTGAGTTTGAAAAGGTGGTTGTTCTCAGAAGATTCTTATTGATATGGTACCACCAGTATATGAAGAAACTGGTTTATTTCAATGATCTTGCTGAAAATTATATTGCCCAACGAGACCATGATAAGTCTGCAGAATTTTTAAGAAGTTGGTCCATGAAATATATTATGGGTATTCAGAGAAATAACGAGAGTTGTAAGCTTTTCGTTGACCGATGGAACAGTTCTAAGTTGAAATCGATATTTGATCTTTGGGTCCAAAAAACCACAGAGCAACAACTTCAAGATGGTGATGATGATGCTTTTACTTTAGACCCTAATTCCAGCATGATAAGCAATCTGAGTCCACTATCTAAGAAATATTATGCTTCCCTTGGAGGGATGACCCCATCGTTATTCACACCTATAAAGGAGCACTCACCTAATAAGATCAATACTCCAGCCAATTCACAAGAAACCAGTCCGTCTAAGCTTCAAGAAACAGCTCAACGATTGAAGACCGAAAGAATCAACCGGTTAAGAGAACGATACAGAAATGCAAAGGCCAATTCACCTCCAAGAAATTCAATATTCAATGTTCAAAGTCTGACACCAACAAAAGTACAAGAGGCTGCCAATAATATTAATAATAATACTAAGACTACTAATTCTTCTGGTATGTTTGGGAAGGACTTTAATACCAGCTTCATTCGATTATCACCGCCTAAAATCAGAGGCAAAGGGTCTGAGGTTTATAATAAGCTCATTGAACGAGAGAGCTCCCCTCCAGCCAAAGAACCTGTGACTACACTGAGACGAATAACACCAATTACATTTCCTTTAAACGATGATTTGGGGTCACCGAGATTCTCTCCTCTGGTAAAGATAAACTCTAGACTGACAACTACGGAATAAAGTTTATAATGATTAGATGCATGCTCCTGACTATTTTATGTCATTGCTTCAATGGCATCTATTTCTTGGTTGATATCACTTAAGACATCTTCAACATCAATATTGGACTCTTGCTGGTTCTTTTCATCAACGACTTGGCTTTCAACTTCGGATCCAATGTCTGTGATTTTGTTTCCGATCCGTTTATAAACTCCCAAATAATTATTTGTCATGATAAAGGAGTTTAAAAGTCTCTTGAATTCATCAAATCTGCCTTCAATTGCTTCATCGATCATGGTCATGATTAACAGAGGGAGATAATGCTTATCATGGATCAGTTCTTGGATCATGAAAATCACTGGCAATGTATTGAATCGAGTATACTTTGTGATTGAATGAACCAATTGCCAATTATCCGAATCTGGAGTCACAGACAGCACCAAAAGATCGAAATCATTCCATTTCTCCATCAATTGATGAGGATCTTCAGTTTTATCATAAGTTACAATGACATCACCATCATCTTGTTTCAATTCGGTGAACCTGGTGAAGCCTGTCATGCAAGTGGCCACATCCAAATGAACAGTGACATCTTTTTTGTCGTTTAAAACATAATGGTTAACATATTCAATGGCTTCACCTCCTGGATAGTTGAAACTTGAGACATAACCCATGAATAACGATACAACGACCCCACCAAGTAACGATAAAATGGTGATAAGGATCCATAACTTGAACACTATGCCCTTGCTAAACATGTGGCTAATTTCATAAGCACCGTTTGCAGCTTGCAAAGCAAATATTGGTATGACATAAATGATGAACCTCCATTCCTTATGAGGTTGGAATGACATGGCAATGACATACAACAAGGATGAAGTGAATAAGATTCTCAAGCCGTGTCTAGCAGGATGAGGAACGACCACCACCGCTGGGTCATTGGCAGCATTAGAACCAGTAGAACCATCATCAGCTGGGTCTGAAGCAAACCCTTTAAGCAACAAAGGAATCAAGATTAACTTGAAAAGTTTAGGTAAATGAACGGTGAAATAACTCCAAAATGGTTCAACTCCCCATTCGCTGGATTTACCTTGTAAGACATTGAAATACATGGCTGAAAACTCAGGGATAACCCAATAACCCCAAAAGTACGAATCAACAAACCCACTAGCGAAAAGGCCTGCTAAAGAGCCAATTGCGAGCAACATGAGGTTGATGAAGACATTTGATTGGCCAAATCCAAGAGATGAAGTTATAGCAATTATGAACCCGAAAACCCCAACTTCCAACCGGAAAATGACCGCTGTTAATCCTAACCAGGTGAATCCTGTGATATCCCCCACAATCAATTTGCTTATACTGTGGTTTACTAAAGGTAAAGCAACAAAATTGGGTAGTGTTCTACTGGAATAAAACAACAAGTGGAACAGTGAACTCAAGATCAACAAATAAAAGAACCCCACGACTCCCTTTCTTTTAGCTCCTCCTCCACTTTTGCTTCTATCTTTGAAGGTGACTGAATTGATGGCATCTTTAATGGAAATCAAGCTTAATACGTTGATTATACCCAAAGTACCTCGCACAATATACTGGCCAATGATCTGACTGTCAGACATCCTAGATAAGTCAATGCCCAACACCGTGAACAAGCCCATGATGGCTTTGGCGATGTATCCGAGGACTAGACTGCCGACAAACGTCCGAGGAACAACTCCAGGGAAGTTGACATGGTCATAGTTGTCTTCAATGACTGTCTGAGGGTACACTCCATAAGTCATTACATCATGAGCTGCTTGGATGGTGAACGACTCCTCGACTTTGGTGTAAGGGGCTATCGCTAGATGGTACCCTACCACCAAGATTAGTAAGGCTTCTAATGCCTTTGACCAACGATACATTGAATAAAGAGACAAGTGGAAAAGGTCGTTGAGTGGTGCCATTCGTTATCTGGAGTTGAAATATAGATGCCGTAATGAATAATGCGGTTGTATGTAGGATCGGACACCAATTTCCCGATGCGGCAATAGTCGTGTTATGTTCCAGATTTGTCATGATTCGAATGAAACGAATAGAAGAGAAATGTGAACGTGCTGAAGTTTCTAGAGGGAAGGCAGGATTAGAATGGAGGAAGACATTCCAGAATTAGTAGTGGATTTAGATACACCTATAACAACGACATCTCAGCAGGAAGGCAATGCTGAAGGAGACATTGTCCAAGACAACACTGAAGTCGTTGAGTACGATGCCACCCCCGATCGTAAGATCCCAATAACCATTATCACGGGATACCTTGGGTCTGGAAAGCTGACCTTACTCCAGCACATCAGTCAGACGTCCAATAAACGACTCGCTATCATACTCAATGAGTTTGGAGACTCTTCTGCTATTGAGAAGTCGGTGACGATCCAAAACCAATCAGAATCCGTACAAGAATGGCTTGATTTAGGAAACGGATGTCTTTGTTGTACTGTCAAAGATAACGGAGTGCTTGCAATAGAAGAGTTGATACGCAAGTCCAAAAACAAGATAGACTATATCTTATTGGAGACCACGGGGATAGCAGACCCTGCACCTATAGCCAAGATGTTCTGGATAGACGAAGGGTTAGCATCCAATGTGTACATTGATGGTGTAGTGACAGTTGTTGATGGAGTGAACATTGTATCGTGTCTTGAGGATGTTGGGGGCCATTGGCACAAGGAACACCGACACATGAAACTTGACCAAGCAGTTAACAAGGATGACGTTACTACTGAAGAGATCCAACAGGAACAGATGAGTCTTGAACAAGGATTAACCACCGCTCATTTACAATTGGCATTGGCAGATACCATTTTGATCAATAAGGTTGATTTGTTGACATCACCAGATTCAATTGATAAGGTCAAACATAAGATAAGACAAGTCAATAGTCTAAGCCCTGTTTATACCACATCCTTTGGTGATATTGACATCGACACCATTTTAGATTTGCATGCCTTTGAAGCCAATGAAACATCCATAGCCAAAATGTCGTCTGGTTCTGGTCACGTGTTCCACGATGGACGGATTACTACTGTGAGTATCAAATTCCCATTCTTCCGTGACCCCCTGAGTTTCCAAGCGTTTGAGTCCTTCATCCAGCATGTTCTTTGGGAGGATGATCTTGATGGAGTCGCAGTGCAAATCCATCGGGCGAAAGGATTACTTGTGTGCGACATTAGCGATGGCCAGCCACATGATGTTCGGGTACTTCAGGCAGTTCGAGATACTTATGATATAATTGAGAATGCGACGTTAGTTCCCGGAGTCAAGGAGAATCAGCTCGTACTTATAGGAAAGAACTTGACAGTGGAAAGTCTTGAACGAGAGTTGAAAAAGTATATAACCATACAATAAGCAGGCAGGACGATGTACCGCAGTGTTAATCCGATCAACTAGACACTCATAGAAAGTTCAAGTATACAAATACTACTGTACTACTGTAAGTATTCTACCATTAGATTAAAGTGCCTCAGTAGTAGCTTACCGTAGGCATGCTGTTCTATACTGTACCATGCCACACAATTGTTAAGCATGGTAGCACTACTGTTCGTACTGTTAGTACAGTAATAAGTACTGTAGTTCTATACCGTAATATAGTTAGTCCTATACTGCAGTTCCTTAGTACAGTACCAGTGTCGTACTGAGTACTACTGTTAAGTAATGTCGTACTGAGCACTGTCGTAAAGAGAGTGTCTTTTTGTGTGAAAAATTTTAAATACTCAAACCTCCACCACACTCTTTATTCACCAACCAATGACCAAAGATACCACGACTTCGCCACCTGTGAAGAAAGGGATCACCAACCCGGCCCTTCAGATGATGGGTATAAAAAGGTTGGCTCTTCCCTCGAGAAACTGGATGATTTTTTGGTCCATAGTCGGTGCTATTGGTGGAGGCATTGCCTACGATAAACACCAGCAAAAGCAAGCCAGAATGAAATATACTGCCCAAGTTCAAAGTCTTTCTACTGTCCCTTATGAAGTCAACCGATTACCTCGCAAGTTGACCATCTTCATTGCTCCTCCACCCAACGACTTTCTTGCGACTTCAGTGCTGATCTTTCTGAAGTTCATCAAACCCGTGTTCAATGCTGCAGCCGTGGACTTTGATATCTTCACGGAGTCAAGACAAGGAGACATTCGGAGTTCTGTTGCCGAGAAGATCAGACAATTAAGAAGAGAAAAGTTGGAAGAGGAGAAGATGGAAACTAACCAAAAGGTAACTAAACACGACGACGCTGGTAGGACTTGGACTAAGTTCAAGAACCTTTTCAGCACTGGGTCGAAGACTGACGACGAAGTTGAAGTCACAGTTGATCGTCACGACTTGTATACCCCCAAGGACGTTTTGGGACTCTATAAAGTGGTTGAACCAGTGACTGTGAAACGTGATGACGAAGAAAATGAACTCTTCTCTGGTGGAGTCATTTGCATCGGCCGTGGAGCATACAAGGAATATCTCACTGGGATCCACGAAGGATTATTGGGACCTTTAGAAAAGCCCCAATGGTTAGTAGAAGAGGAACTGAAGGAACAAGAAGCTAAACAACAAGAAAAGAAAGAGAAAGAAGAACAGAACGAAAATAAGCAACATACTGAGGATGAGAAGGAAGAAGAGATTCCAGTACCTAAAGCTTGGATCAAACCCGAGGAGTATGGTTCGGCTGAGTATGCACCAGAATTCCAAGATACTTTCCAAAATGGAGCTCTTCTTAGAAACAAAAAGAATACTCCAGTTTTATTTGAACAACCCGTTTATGTTTTCCCCGTTGTGAACATTCAAGGGTTCCTTCGAATCCCCGAGAAAATATATCGTTTTTTCACCACTAGAGAAGTAGCTGAATCCATGGGCGCTGAAGCTGTGGAAATCGTCCATAATCGTACCCGTAAGTTTGAACTCAAACGAGATGAGTTTATGGGGTCCATTGAAGAGAAAGAATGGCCCAAGAAATGGGTTAAAAGTGGGTTAGAAAAGGGAAGTGAATGGGTCCAGCCTTTAATAGTTGATCCAAGAGTAGTTGAAAGAATAAGAGTTTATCAAGTTGATGTATAACCAAATAATTTTGTAAATAGTATAATCATCATCATCATCATCATCATCATCATGTTCGTTCCCAAAGAGTGAAATCATAAGTATAGTCTCCTTCGATATTGTTTTGGCTTATTTCAATATCCTCACCGACAAATTTTTTAAGCTTATCCTCATCCATTTTCTTCCACTCCAATTGTTGATGTTGTTGATAAATAGGGAACTTCAAGAATGTATCCATTGGAACTTCTTCACCTAAATTATTCTTGATCTCCGTAATCAACAAATGCAGTGTCCTGGAATCATTAATCACGGTGTTGTACAATTCGCCTCCTCCAATCACAAAGATCCGCTCTATCTCATGGGCCTTGTCTTTGGATATCCAATCAATAGCCGAGTCAAAAGAATTGGCATGATACAATTCGGGAGTTACTAGTTCATTCTGGAACGTTCTAGAAAGTACAACGTTCAATCTTCCCTTAAGGGGGCGGAATTTATTGGGTATAGAATTCCACGTATTGCGACCCATAACAACCGCGTTCCGTTTATTACCAGTGGTCACGTCTCTAAAGTATTTGATCTCTTTGGAAAGCCTCCAGGGAAGTTTCCCTTGATATCCGATTCCCAATTCGGGAAGTAGCGCCGCCACTATAATAACAATAGGAGGAGTCGAGCCCATGACAGTAAAGAACAAAGTAACTTTTTATTTGTTTAATGTGTTCATTGTTGAGTTTTTTCTTTCTACTATCAACAAAGTCGTGTGTGCACCTAAAGGGGTTGTTCGTATACCCCTTTAATGTAACCAACAGTTTAACAGTAATTTATTAACAAATCAACGGTGTAGAAATAGTGTGCATCAGAAGAGTAAAAAAAAAGAACTAAAGTGTACAGAGGAAATATAAATAGAGCAAGCACTGGTAATAAAATAACAACATCAAAAAATAATAAAACAAAAATTATGGCTAAGCATCACAGCAGTTAATGTACAATGGTAAAAGCATTCTTAAAGAAAAAAAGAAAATGTTCTGACTGGTCAAACTATTTCTTAGCAGTCTTTTTAGTAGTAGTAGACTTCTTAGGAGCAGCAGCCTTTTTAGCAGTAGTACCCGTCTTCTTAGCTGGAGCCTTCTTAGTAGTCGTAGTAGCCTTCTTAACTGGAGCAGCAGCTTTCTTGGTAACTTTCTTTGGAGCAGCCTTAGAAGCAGTTGTTTTAGAAGTAGTGGCTTTCTTAGAAGCAGTAGCAGTCGCCTTTTTGGGAGCAGCCTTCTCAGTAGTTGCCTTCTTTGTTGTTGGCTTTTCAGTAGAAGCCTTTTTAGCAGCTACAGCTTTTTCAACAGCAGCTTTCTTTGGAGGAGCAGCCTTCTTTGGTTTAGAAACTTTATCAGATTCAGTGGCAGCAGGAGCACTTAATTTCTTAACCAATTTAACAGGACCAGAAGGACCTTTTGGTTGGTTGAATTCACCGGTTTCTAAACCCTTTCTAATAGCAGTATTGAATAATGAGTCAAAGTTCTTTGATTTAATGTCGTAATTAGATTGGACGTATTTCTTCAAGCTTTGACGACTTTAAAAGTTGTTAGTATAAAGATAATTGGAGGTGAGATCAAAAATAAATTACATACGAAGAACCGTTTCTTTCTTTCAAGGTGACCAAGGCTGATTTGATCATATCTAAATTTATGGTTAGCTCCAGATAATTGAATTTCAAGGGGAGAAAAAAATGCACTCAAGGAAAAATAGTTGTCAGCATCATCATCATCAACAACAAACACATGTATCCACTGATAAGTATGAGTATGACCATATATGTTTGAACATGACCATGTATGTATGAATGTGATCACATATAGGTGTATATATGGATATGAATGTGATACGTCACATTGCAAAGCTAATTGAGCTACTGAGTAATATTAATGGGTATCCTTAATTCCTCTCCAATATATTTAACAGTCACATACCCTTGATAGTAAGCTTGGAGGCAGCAACAGTTGGTCCAGACTTGGACCCTTTAGCGACGGCTGCAGACATTTTGTGGATAATTTGATATAGTGAAGAGTAAAGAAAAATTAGGCGATAAAGAAATAGTGGTGGTAAATATTCTGGGAATTGAGTTTTGTTTCTCCTCATAGTTGATGTTGCTTTTGGAAGAAGCGTTTTGTTTTGATTTGGAGATGCCACAAAAGAGAGAGTCACGTCTTGTTAGGCGTCCTAATTAGGAAATTATTTCGGGGGCAATAAACGAGGGCGTATTCAGGTAAATTCCGGGAATGAGGATTTCACATGTCAATTCCGAGGTGAGTATAGCTTGGCTGTCGTTACTATCATAATTTTCACCATTTGTACAGTTGCTATCTTATTATCGTGAATACTACTACTATAGTACTATTATCATGCTATTCGTATTACTCGTAGTATTGTCTTACTATTTTTTCCATACCTTCTATATACATTAAGGGCACACCTCTTGTTCACTCCATTGTTCATATTGATCTTTGGTAAAGACCATCCGTCTGTCCTTTTCTAAATCAACAAAATCTACCGACTCCACAAATATTACAACCAAGCTGAAATTGGCAAACCCTGCCTCATCCTTCTTCCCATCAACTCCCCGCCGTATTCTGTCAATAATCTTTGCATTTTGATCATCAAGAGGTGTTAATGGAGCTGGCTTGCGGAACAGGTGTCGAAGTTGTTTAGAAAGTTGATCCCATTGTCTTCTTACTTCGGTGTCCCATTCTTCAGACGTTGGAGGTTTCAATTGAATATCCACAAGATTAGTATATGACCCATGATGGTGATTAGAATGTTCTTCATTATGATCACTGATGAATCCAGGACTTACAAGTGCTGAACAGATAGGTTCATCTTGAACACATTTGACTTCATTTACAATAGGTTTAATCTCATTGGATGGTGGAGATTTAATCTGGAAAGTATCTTCGTCTTCTTCTTCTTCACTATCATCAAAAGTTTTATTCTCATCTTCATTTTCACTTCCATAACTATGGAACACTCCAACCTTCAGTAAATCTATGTTTGGTTTGCGATCACTGTCAACCAAACGAGCTCTTCCACGTAATCTAAATTGTTTACGTCTCGAAGGCAAATAACAGTTGATCTCAACTCGATCGTTAATTTCAAGCTCATGGTATTTTTGCATCCGTTTATCCGTGGTGATGACTATGGAGTTGGTAGTCTTGTCATTGAAAAGAAACCCTCTGTATACTACTGTACGTACATGAGGGAATCCATCTGTACCTATGGTGGCCAATTGTAACAGAATAAATGGAGGAGGTTGAGATATGCTTGAGCGTCTTGTTCCAGGAGCTGAAGTTGAAGTTGTTTGGGAATCAACCGGCAGCGATATTATTCTAGAGTTAAGCTCCAGATCAATGGCATGAGTAAATATTGGCACCCATGGTGCCATAAAATTAAGTTGGTACATTCCCACAGCGGAGTAACAGATGAAGCGAGAAACCAAAGTCGGCAACAAATGGAAACTATAACGTGAAGCTATCTTGCGTTATGGTTCTTTTCCGTTATACTTCTGCTGTGCTGTGCTGTGCTGTGCTTCTTGCAAAAGTTTCTTGAACGATAAATTTTAGTCCTTGGTGTACCTAAATATTCTCGACTAAAATGGCACTAACTGGAAGGAACAATTTTTCGCTACGTTATGCGAATCAAATAGTCAACCTCAACAATGCCCCACTTCTTGTTTGGCTTTGATCCTCCGTATTCTCCAAAAAAATATGGGCGATAGTCTCCAGAGATATAACGAATGTTTGTTTACCTTCAACAGTTATAATACTTTGAGCCTTACGCATATATATCTATTTATAAATACACCAAGTGTTTTATTATAGGGACAAGTTAGTCGCATTTGACATCACTTGACCCTCCCAAAGCGGCTCTCCTATTGCGACACAAACAAATCAGCTACGAATCACCCCCATCGGAGTTTTCGCACGACACTTGTCCATTATGTGCTGGAATAGAGCCATTTCCAGTATCTACGCACGCTATGTTATGCGGAGACGGGGTTACATGACGGACGGGGATTAATTAGCAGGCGAGGGCGTGGGGACCTCGTGGGCAACTGTTTTTATTGCGCTGTGGTCGAACAATAAGTTTGTTATTGTCTTCATTATTGGAGATTACTTTATTTACTCTGTATTGTGAAATAGGGCACTTTAATCGATTTTAACCTTCTTACTCACACTACAATACCAGTTGTACTCTTCCTGATTTCTTTCCCCTCTAGTTGTTGCTGTACAAAGGCACTGTATTACGTGTTCATTGGACCCCTTCCTTCAATCTGTACCATGTACTAAACAATTTTTGTCATGTTATCATTTCATGACCAAACCTGCAATAACTCGTAAAAATCAAGTCGTTGTCCCGGATGCAAATCTAAACTCTGAACTACTAGGGCCCTAACTTCATCTACCATCCTTGGATGTCCACAGGCAACGAACCCTACAGATGGACTCTTTACATCTTCGTTAATTATTTCCTCCAAATCAGGTCTCCTCTCAATAAACAGTACAAAGGGTAATGTAGCCTTCAATCTGTCTATCGCATTAATTTCCTTTGTTCCACACGGTACCTTTTTGTATCTTGTAACGAAAATTGTTACTTGCACTCCTAAATCTTCTAGCGACGCCAACTCATTCTTGAACCACCCAACTGACTCATAGTTCTTAACTATCCAAAATAGCCGGATTATGCGAGACAGCCCGCGTTGTTTGGTTTGTGCCAATGATTTAGCCTCAGAATAAAGACCTGGTATACCACTTCCTCCAGCTATAAAAGTCACATTGTGATTATAGAAGTTTTGACAAGCATCAACGTATGGTCCTTCGACCGCAACACGTATCTTTCCCTCTTTTGCAGGTGTTGTCAATAATCGCTTATACAAATCCTCTGTAACTCCTTCTTTCACCTTGCAATAAAGAACAATAACCTCTTCTCTGTCTCCGTCTCCGTCTTGCCTTTCAACAATGCATGTAAATGGATGCGATTGCCACCACGAGCTAGGAGCAAGAAACTGAATCCAGATGAAACTTCCAGCGAAATGGTTCCAATTTTTTGGCTTAGGTATTGTAACTTTTAATGTAATATCTTCCTTCTCTCCCACAACTTTAATCGTGGCCAATGGGAATCCAAACCTTATAAGTTTGGTGAAACGAATTGTCCTATCAAATACCCAAAATGCAACAGAAGGCAATACTAAAAATAGATATCCCAATGGTTTCAAGTGTATCCAAGATCCAATAATATAAACCAGTACTAGAACAATATGAAGACATACAAACGCCTCATACCATCTTCGTCTTAGATAGAGGATAGATTGCAAAATAATAAGAGTCATGGCAAATGTTCCAGCCACACCCCAAATCAAATACCATTTCGCAAAGAACTCTTCATAACGGCCTTGTATCTTGAATGTATGGACATACGTAATAGAATGAATGTAAACGTTCAAGAAAGCAATCCTACTAATCCATTTATGGTATGTGATTAATGTAGCATAATTCCAACCTGTTAACTTCATTAATGTATTGTTTCTTCCAGCGAATAATATCACTAAAGGAGTTAACATTGTTCCTGCTATACCTGATCTAGCAGCTATATATCGAAAGAACGCAAATGTTCTGGTTTTGAATAATGGATCATTATCAATAAAATGCAAGTTATTAGTATATAGAAACGCATTGAGTAATCCAAGAATGGTAATGGTTATACTCTCTCCTCGTGTTGGAACAAGCATTGAGAAAAGCTTCATTGTACCATACTCTTTCTCTTCACATTTATTGCGACCCCATAGTGCTGGAAGTAGGAGATATTTTCGAATCGCATTCTCAGTTGAACTACTAAGAATCCTTGAGAACCAAACTTTTGACCACTTCAGTATCGTAGCTAACATAGCAACTGCTAGTATCCACCACACAAGAATCGATGAAAGATATAATGCATTATCGTAGTTGTTCACAAGCCAGTTGGTGTAACTTTCATGCCATAGTTGAATATATTCATCGTCTGGTTTAACTGGCGAATTGACTATCTCTGAACTTTTGAAACCAGTAGTCATATGATGATCAATAGTAATTGCACTTTTCATATAGTACTCTAGTGAATTTTCCCATTGCTTTGAAGTAACTGTGGTTCCTACGAATTCCATACATATCTCATTGAAAGCTTCCTTCGTGGAAAGCGTAAACTCTCCAACCACATTTAAACAACCGGAAACTGAAGCCCTTGCGTTTAAGTTGTTGCACCAACATGACCAATAATCTATATTAGAGTCACAGAATGTGGCCAATTGTGATAGAGGGTAAATACACCCATATATAGATGCCTTTGAAACCCCATATAATTTTGGGCCCAATTGCGCAGTCACCACATCAACCACATAAAAAGCCGAAAGAAAGTAACATGAGGTGCTGAAGCATCTCATTTCCAACGAAATAGGTATCTTAAATAGCAGTAATGAGAACAGGAAAAAACTGGTTTCATATATCTGATAATGTAACCAATTGCCAAGGGTTTCCCGGATGTTTATTGCTCACGAGCTAAGGAATTGTTAAACAATGGATCGTTCCAAGACGTTTTAAATGTTTAGTAACCACTTTTTCCAAACAGCTTTGATGATTATATTAATAGTTACTTGTTTTAATATATGATTTGGACCACAGGAAGATGAGTTGCTTTGTTGGGATACCAAATTGTACAAGGTAGCTATTACAATTTAGTTTTTATCCCTATTGATTAAAGGGCTTATGTGTAGGCGGTTGGCCCATGTCTGTCAATTGAATACCGAGTCTCGGACTTTATTGTGCGGATGTACAAATAGAAATAGAAGTGACACTGAATTTAATGTTCGTATTGAGATTGATCAAAAGGGAGTTGCAGCTCTTCACAGTATTATTGTCTCACAAGACATTTTACCTTTTACCTTTCTTGTCTTCAGCTTATACGTATAGGGCAATGGAAGAATCTGAGGAAATATGCAAATACGTTGAGCTTTTAAGTATATTAACCATTTTGCCTGTGATTGATACTAGAAGGCCGATTCCGGTTCATCTTTAAGGTTGCACAAAGCGTACAAATCTTAATTTAGCAAATGTGCGTCATGCGTATAGAATTACGTAAGCTATCTAATCGATCATCTGATTACCCAGCTTTACGTCACATAATAGTTGGCGATTGGCTGTCAATGTCAAGTATTTAAGGCTTTTGAGTATGCTATTTGCAACCATTTAGAAAAGTTTCTTAGGTCCATACCTGTAAAGCTTCATAGAAATCAACTCTTTTACCCTTATTTTGGGTCAAGGATTGAACAAGAGCGTATCTAGCGTCATCGACCATCATGGGGTGTCCACAAGCCACAAAGGCAACTGATTTACTTGTTTCTTCTAAATCATTTCTAATGATATCATCCACAAGCGGTTTACCTTCAACAAAATTGATATGTGAAAGACAAGACTTCAAATGAGCAATATCAAGAGATACACTTTCTCTGCTCTTCTTCTCAGCATCATCATCATCCGTGTCTTTGTTGCTGTCAAAGTGGGCCAAGGTTTGGCTTGGCTTAGTTAAGTAGATGGTGGTTTCAACTTGTACATCTTTCAATGCTTCCAATTGTTCATAGAACCACATTATAGAACCGTAGTCTCTTATAATCCAATGCAACTTGAGTTTCCCCTTTGAAGGCTGCCTTTTCTTAGCTAAATGCGTAACTTCAGAGTATAAACCAGGGATACCGTTACCACCTGCAATGAAGCTCACACATTCGGTTCTCTTGTATTGACATGGCTCGGAGTATGGTCCTTCAACTGATACACGTATTTTGGCTTCTTTGGTGGGTGAGACCAACAAATATTTAAACAAATTGTAGGTGACTCCACTCTTCACCTTACAGTAGAGAATTATGGACTTACCATCGAGAGACTCGATACAGGTGAATGGATGCGATTGCCAAAAGCATGTTGGTTTCAAGAAGTAGATCCACACGTGTCCTCCAGGAGACATTCTCCAATGGTCTGATTTAGGTACTACAACTTTCAATGTTGCAGCTTCCTTTGTCAACGGATCTATCCCATTGCCATTACCCAATAACGTAACACAAGCTTCAGGGAATCCATAAATGAACATCCTTACAAGTCGAGCGACGCGATCGAAACCCCAGAGAGCTATTGCCGGGATAATCATTTGTAAGTATCCCAAATCAGCCAAATGGTACCAACAACCAATAATATAGAACACAGCAAGTAGGATGTGAAATAGCACAAATGTTTCGTACCAACGCCGACGAAATTGTAACATTGCTTGTAACATGATCAATCCCATAACAGCTGTTCCAACAGTACCCCATATAAGGTATGTTTCCTTCATCTCTTCCTTATAATCACCACGACCAACAAATATCACGGTGTAGCAAATAGAATGAATAAGGATCAAAAGGAACGATATCCGACTAACCCACTTGTGAAAAGTAATATTTGTGGCATAATTCCAACCAGTTAACCACAGAAGAATATTGTTTCTACCAGCAAAAAGAACAAGCATTGGGGTCAACATTGTTCCACCAATACCTGATCTGTCACCAACATACTTATTGAATGCTCCCTTCTTAGTTGGGAAAAGTGGATCATTCTCAACGTAGTATAAGTTAGCAAACAAAAGAACAAAATTCAACACAAGGAATACACAAATCACAAGAGTTTCCCAACGCAAAGGAATAAGCATGAAGATTAGCTTACCTAACCATGAAAGCTCTTGGTTTCTCTTTTTCCCATAGGTTGCTGGTAACAGAATATATTTTCTAAAGTTGTTTGAAATGGGGCCGGTTAACCTCATGTACAAGCTGGGCCAAAATATTTTGGTTAAATTCACAGCAGATGCAATTACCATCACTAATGTAAGCCACCACACCAACATGAGAGAATACCAAACAGAATTGTCGTAATTGTTAACTAAATAATTGACGTAAGCTTTATGATACAAAACTCTTGTTTCATTATTGAGTTTTAGAGGAACTGAAACCGGAATAGATTTGTTGAAGTTTGCGATCTCTATAGGGTAAACGGCTTTATCAAAGTAGAGTTTGTAAGCTTTATCAATAGCATCATCATTTATTGGAAGCCCATATGTTTGACAGTTGCTTTTTAGAGCGTTGATGGTTCCCTTCCTATAGTCATTAGAAACTTCTAAGCAACCTAGAATTGATGCTAAAGCGTTTTCGTTAGAACAAAAGCAAGGCCAGAACCCAACAGTTTTGTTACAGAAGGAAGCTGACTTATACAAGGGACGGGAACAAGCGAGAACAGACGCTCTTTTATTTCCGTACCATTCCAACGTTTTAAGCTTTGCTTCAGCACTTAGGGCCAAGAAGAATATATTAATCACTAAACTTAGGACTCCAAGATGCATTATTGTAAATTGGTTGCAAAATAGTTACTTTACAAAACAATTTCGTCAACTAAAGATAGAGATTCAATGACCTTATATATCATTTACTGATCAATTTCTAAGGAAGCATGGTATGTTAAACATTTATAATTATACGCTACGAATTAAAAAAACCAATCTCCATTGGTCCCCATGGTAACAACTCTGAACGTATATCTTTTAGCTCGGTTGTCTACAGTTTCCCCGGAAAATAACAATGAAGGCATCCTGTACCAATATTATAATGCCAAGATTATAGAAATTAAAGCAAAAGCGTATAACATTCTCAGTTGAATCTTCTGGTTAAGAAGAAACGAAACAAGTTGATGCTGCAAATTATCTTGTGCAGAAGCCAAATATCAAGCCTTCTTTCAAGAAAACTTTTTTTACACACACTAAATCCTTAAAAATTTGGTACCTGATGATTTGGTCATTTTCCAGCCGTTATATTGTTTCAATCATTGATAGTCATACCATAAACGTGACTATACGCTTAAGTCTCTCTTAAACTAGACCCGAGCCCTGTATTAAAGAATTGCCTCCTTTCAATTGAATCCGATTGTCGGCGTTACAGCATCAGCTATTGTGTTCTTCGCTATACAATTTACATTTGCAAGCTCACAAGAAGGTATGATACTTATTACATTGTGAAGGAATATATAGAACAGGTTTACGATATTATTCAATACTGCATACATTGTGGTGCATTTGTATGTGCTTCCTAGGAACCGACACACAAACCATAGCCCACGTCCAATCTACAGTAGCCCTCTTCAAGTTCCGGGCTCTGAATATAAGACTAACTACTAAGAGACCAGCTTCATGAGGTTTCGGTGAGTTTACATCGCAAATTAGACTCATCTTCACCCATCGTATTAGGCATATTCGTAAAGTAGATCGATTTCAAAATGCAGGATTGTGTATACAAAGGACGCAGGAGTAATCTAATCGATCGTTGACTCCAATTAGGAGAAGAGAAAAGTCGTCAAAAGTGGGTGTAGTTATAACCCGAGCTCGGTAACTAACCTAATACTTGCATTAAAGATTTTTTTTGGTTTGCATTTAAACAAACTTATTCCCCATCCATGGCAGGGCTGATCTCCCATATGAACTTCAAGCCAGTTTTTTAATGATTAATTAGGAAGTTCAAAAGGTTTGGAACAAATAGCGCATCCTCGTATTTACGTTAACATAGGGTAGTTTTGTATTTCTCCAGATTTGATTGAATTTCTCTCCGTAGAAATAGTTTACCACTTTGGTGTTAGGGTCTTTTAGATGTAATATCTGAATAATTTTTTTAGGTTCCACTACTTTCCCGTGCAAATCTTTGTTAAGTCACCAAAGTTAATACTATTTATCCAGTAAAAAAATTATAGAAATGTATAGATCTAGGTGGCTTTCCCAGGAATATACGATTTTTTTTCATATAATAATAATCATCAATATTGATATGAAATTTTTTCTATCATTTAATAGTGGAACAACGGGACTTGAATTCTGCTATCAAGTTATCCATGGCCCTAGTGCCGTCAGGATAGACTATTTTGCTATACTCAGGCAAATAAGCAAAAACTACATTAAGACCCCCAATTTCTGACGCAGCAACATCTAAAATGAAATGATATCTTCCACAAGTCGAGCTACTAAATATCACATCTTCTAGGGTAAATCCAAAGCACGTAGGTTTAGGTAGCTTAAGCATCCCTATGTTGGATGTCAATAAAGTCTGCCTACCTTCACGTTTCCCAATTTTGGCTTCCTGAGAATTCCAGACATTGGTGTACTTAACTAATCCCTTTTCCTTAAATGAATCTAAAGAAGATAAATCGTCAATTATCTCCTGATGGAAATCTTTCATTAAACTTAGCCACTCATCATCACTATTTAGCAGCAATTGAGATGGCTTGAAAATATTAATCAGCGATACAAGACATCCATAAATATCCTGGAACTGAGATGGCAAGAATCGTCTACCATCTACTGTTATACAGCTTTTAGTGGAAAATTATTTATCCGGATATAGGGCTGCGAAAATATACTTCTCTAAAAGTTTAAGAGCGATAATATGAATAAATGGAGTTAGTGTGATCTTGTTCCTCCTGCAGAATTCAAGCATTTTTGATAATTCACTTGGAGCAAAGTTGACTATTTGGTAGTCTGTCGTCATTTCTTTAGTGATCACATTATGAGCGAAAACTGACTCTGAAACTGGAGAGTTAGTCCATTTATACGTCAACATGTCTTTGAATGTTGAAGCAAAGTGACCAATTATTGTACTAAAATTGGGCTGAAATAAGCCAGTTAATTGCTCTACTGGCCCAATTAAGGAATCACCAAGGTAATCCTTCTCATCCTCGTAGCTAAATAATGTTTGTTGCATTTCACAGTATTCGTCCTGGAGATTTAGAGCTTCCATTAAATCTTTGTGAAACTTTGAACCACTGACTCCATCAAGCAACGCATGATCACAAACAAGTGAAACATACTGTCTTTTATCACTGGACGATTCTATCAAATAAACCATCCAAAGAGCCAGTGTCGGCGAGTTCATTTCAGGCCTTAAATCATTAAACATCTTCAAGACAGAATTATCAAAACTCTGAACTGACATACACTTCACCGCATCATTATAATTTAAGCTTTCAAGAGGTCTAACTTCAAAATTAGTACCATCATATTCTTTGTCCGACTTATATGAATGAGTACGATAAAAGTTATATACTAGCCAGTAATTTGAATCTCTAATTAACTTTTTCAAGGCACGACTAAGGACGTTGGGAGTTATTCGCCTTGTTCCTCTATATTTTCCTGTGACATTGAAACTGGTGTAGAAGTTACCAATATTACGAACCACAAATTGTCTCTCATAAAAGCCAATAGGTCTTCGGTGTTTCCTTTCGATCATTTTTGGTTTTTAAGAACAAGGTGGGAAAGAATTTCAAGTTGAAACTTTCGTACTCTTTATAGCTCCATTTTGACTATGACTCAATGACTTCTCGAAAATCGCTTCTGTATGTAGCATTAACATGTTAATTGTTACGCATGTGGTGTTTAATGCATTCTACGTCATTTTATAGAGTCATCGAGCACAAAGTACGACATATGTTTTGATGTATCTGTCTGCAATTTATAGGAAAGGCTTTATATCACATAAGAAACAGCGATCCACTAATACGTTTACGAGTAACCAAAAATTATGTTTAAAATGTGGCTGGAGGAAATGAAACTTGGCTTAATATGTAAAAGAAAAGGTAACAGGAAACACTTGATATCCGAATTGCAACTCTTAGTACTCTAATTTCCCTGAAGGCTGAATGAGGGAATTATTACACTTCACGAAACAGTTCCTACTGGGAGAGGAGACATTAAATCGACTGTAAAATGAAATGTAATATTGAGGTATTCAAGTGTAAAGCATTTTTCACTGAAAGAGTATGTGAAAGGTGTGAAGGACAGAAATGTCACACATTTTAGAGCTTTCAAAATACACAAAATCAAGTGATAAAATATGCGTGTACCTGTATATTTATAGTAAATTTCGCTATGGCAGGAATTGGGTACTCTGGCCGAGCTGGTCTAAGGCGCCAGGGTAAGGTCCTGGTCTCTTCGGAGGCGCGAGTTCGAATCTCGCGGGTATCATTATCCATTACCAGCAATTCCTCTTCATATTTTTTTCTAAATTAAACATAATGGTGATTAAAAATCTTAGTACTGTAACTGTTAGTACTGTGACCAAAGATACTCTAACATCCGTTATATATTCTAACTTTTCATTTAAAGTAACTGGCATTTAACCTGCAATTTGTTAGTGTTACCCTTTTTGGGTTTCACACAACCGGAATTGCTTCATAATCTCCGAAACCATACAGGTAGATACTACTACAAAGATAAGATATATCTTCTATCGTCAATAACCGTAAATAAATATACTGTAAGTAAGTTACTTTTCCAAGTCCGTGCCACTACTAGTATTTTGGCTATCTTGAGCTGGTGGTGGTGATGGTGGTGGAAGGGTTTGCTGTTGTTGCGCCGCAGCCATTTGTTTGCGCATAAAGTTTCCAAATATCTTCAACACAAAAGGGAACGCAGCAGATAAAAGTACTACCCATGCAGCCAAGATACCATAATTCCGGCCCAATCCTCCCTTATAAGTATTGAAGAAGATGACCTTTGTGATATCATAGGAATTGTGTAAGGGCATTGCGTAACCATAACGGAAAAACTCTGGACTTAAGGCAAGAGGTGCAAAAGTAGGAGCAATATTGGAGATAACCCAAAACAAAAGCCAAAATCCCACAAGTGAAGGATATACCATAATGAAAAACATACCCATGATTTCATTAGCAAACCCAACAACAAACATTGTCAAGAAGCTTGACATCCAAAAAACCACAAATCCTGCTCTTCCAAAGGCCTTCGTAAAATCAACTTGGAAGGCCAATGTCACAAAACAATATGCAAGGGATAAAACGAGATATGTCATACAAGCTGAAAAATATCTGTACATCACATAATGAAGGGGTTTTAAATGAAATTCTTGTGCAACCTTTTTATGGGTATCAGCAAAGAAACCAACTTGGAAAAATGTCATAATGATAATATAAATGAGACCAACTTGAGATGGTGCCACAAGTACAGGATCTGTAAACGGAATAAGGTCATCCCAATCAAAATTCCAAGGAGTTGAAACAATTTTAAAAGTTTCTTTATTCATATTGAAAAACGTATTATTAAACAATTGCCCTAAAATCGTTGGTTGTTGAGCCAACCAGATGGATTCTATTTTTCGGATTTGTGGTGTAACATATGCTGGAACATTAGTGAAATCTCTTCCTGTTTCGTAAATTGTCACGATTGAAGTGTTGAATAAGGAAGGATCACTTGATTCCAAAGCCTGGACATAATTGTATGATGAATTTGGTTTGACCCAAATAGAAGACCAAAAATTTTGGTGGTGTATTTGATAAATGATTTCTTCTTCTGTTGTTCTTCCCTTATCAGATTTCAATTCCGTTAATGTAGATGAATTGTAAACTCTCCAATCTCCTAAGGGACGAGTTTGCTTATTATTTGTGAGTAGTTGTTGGAAAAAGTCCCCAACAACTGGTTGAGTGCCATTGATGACTATATCGTCCTCTATCACAACCAACATCTTTAAGTTTCGCACTCTACCGTCCCGTCCATACATGGACCCCCAATAGATAGAAAAAATGGAGATCACAAAGAAAGCCATAATGAAGTACACCGTTAAAAATGTCCATACCAAACTCTTACGTTGGGAATGTAATTTCTCATTAAAGAATGAATATCTGCTTTGGATTCTATCAAGAATAGTTGGAGTTCTCTTGATCCCCAATTCCAGAGACACATCAGCAGAGTACCCCATAACTATATTCTCATCATCATCATCAGAGAAATGATCCGAACTGATTGAGTTCCGTTGTGACCCCACACTATTCCTTATTGGCTCACCGTTACCCTGGTAGGTTTCTTTCTGAGACATGGTCTTTGCCAAATATTCTTCTCCATATGGAGTAGCAGGAGCCAGCAGCGAGTCCGTACTGGATTTCCTTCCACTATCTACCATCGTAACTTTCTATATAAACTATTCTACTTCTTAACTTTTTTTTTTTAACGAAAAGTTCAAGGGTCCAACGTAAATATATATATGTGCGGCTTTCACGGGCAACGCTTTATATACCACCAAATATGATAGTGATTGGATTACAAAGAATTTCTTCCAAAAGGAAGTCCCAGTGCTTATATGGAGAACAACTTTGAATAACTCCACTACAGCTGACATACGAAAGGTTCTATATGTGCAGGCCATACGTTGACTAATTCGTAATGAGGAAGAGGAGTTAGAAAGAGACTCTGCAGGAGCAACAGGCTTTGTTTAGTATTCTAATGCCGAACATTCTGAGGAGGTCTGGCCCGAACGGCGGTCGGATGCCAGATGACGCCACAATGCAGTATTTTGACAGCAATATGTTGGATTCAAGCAATTACTAAGTCTACAGGTGACCAAACCTGCTTAATAATCACCCCAATATTTCTCTCTCTATCCCCCATAGTTAACGTGTGCATTAACAACAAGTTCTTATAGTCGTTAGCAAAGAGCATTAAAGCAGTTAAAAGAAACAATCTCGTTAGATAAAATTACAACAACACAATATGTTATTTAGGGGCTACCGTTTGTGAAACTGTGACCTACTGACTTAGATACGGAAATTAAAAACACTACAGTATCTATTATCTCCGTTTTGGCGAACACACTACCGAGAATTATATTAATACGGCTGTAACAATGTAATGTGAGTTTAAATCCGTATGATATAAGGCAGATCGTCCAATATACAACAAAAATGTAGAAAGATAGTAGAATTATTACCGACGTTACTACTAATAATAAACAAAATTAAAATCATGACCTTGATTTCGACCTCAATTATCATTGATAGTACGCCTGAAGTTGTTAGAAAGTCATTTCTTGACTTTAAACATTACCCGGAATGGGCACCATTCATTACATCAGTTCAGGTCCAAGATAAGAAAAGAGATCAAGAAATTGATTCCTATGCTGATTTAAAAGCAGGTGAACATTTGGTAGTTGCATTACAAGATAAAGAAGGAGCCAAACCAAATATAATTGAGCCTGTTTTACTTGAAAATTCCCCAGAAAGATTCCAATGGAAGGGTAAGGTTCTTTATGATTGGATCTTTTGGGGTGCTCATAAATTTGAATTCAAACCAATTGAAAATGGCACTAAAACAGAATTGATTCATTCAGAACAATTTGGTGGTTTGCTTACTTCAATTGTTATTTATTTTTTCAATCCTGAAGCACTGTTTATTCGTTTCAACGAATCACTTAAGAAAAGAGTAGAGTCAATATAGTACACGTGAGAGATCACGTGAAACTCTCAATTTTTTGTTTTCCAGGTTTGACCAATAGGCACCCAGTATTCAAGGGTCAGTATAATTTATATACCTTTATGTTCACGTAAACTCTTAATGATGTATATGTATAAAATAATAATATAAAGACTATACAAATGATCCCAGGACGACATAGTCCCCTCACTTTGTTATAACAAAACAAAAAGTCGAATAAATATGCTATATTCTTGAATCGTACCAAATTTTTCATTGGTAACTTTTCTTTTTCATTACCGAGACCCACTCATTTCTATTCAAAGATTGATGGTCTACGTTATGGATTTTTCTTCCTCTTCCTTGTTTATTTAGCAACACCTTGTAAAGCTTCTAAAACTTCCAATTCAATGGTAGCTTCAGCAGCAACAACTTCATCAGAAGATGCAGCTCTCTTTTGAGCATCGGCAATCAATTGCTTAACGGCTTGTCCATCAAATTGATCAGGCTTGAAAGCTTCAATGGCAGAAATAGTCAACTTGTTACCGGGTTGAACAGTAGCAATACCACCAGAAACAAAGTAAGTATCGGTTTCACCACCTTTAGAAATGATTTCCAATAAACCTGGTCTCAATTGTTCGACTATTGGAATATGGTTAGCCAAAATACCCAAGTCACCGTTAATGGATGGCAAGTTAACTTGTTGAACTTCAGAATCGGAATACAAGGTTTGATGAGGAAGAGCCAATGATAATTTCAAGGCATCAGAAGAGGCAGCCTCGGTGGCGTAACCTCTTCTGACAACATTGGAAGATTGTCTGGCAACGGTACGTAATGTTTGTCTGAACATGACTGTTGTGTTTAGGGTTGGAGTTCCTTTAGCGTGGATTTAAGATTAGTTGCACTATTTCAATGTTGAATTATTGGTGTCCGATTTTCGATACTGGTTTGTCGTTTTGTGCTACTTTGAGAAAAATTTTAATATGGGAGAGAGCTCGGGGTTTTGTGTACGTCAATTCCCCCTCTTCATTGGTCAACGTAGACTTCCGTAAAGGGTAATATATACTGATACATACAGTAATATGAAGCTCATATAATATAGGGTAATACTATACTATTTAATCATATTCACCAAATTGGTTCAAGAAACTATCAACATCAAAACCTTCTTCATTACCCAAATCAATATTAGCATTCCCATCTCCAAGATCTCTCAGATCAAGCATATCGATATTCAATCCATTGAGTAGTTCGTCATCATTAGCCAATAGTTCATTCATTTGCATGTCTGACAAATCCTTATCATTCTTCATATCATTATTATTATTGTTGGTGTTGTTATTGTTCGTAGCAGTAGTGTTATTATTGTTGCTATTGCTGGTGTGGGTGGAGTCAATGTGACTATTATTGTTGTTGGAGTTATTATTATTACCATTATTATTATTACTATTATTAGTATCACCAACATCACTCATTTCAAGATCTATTAAGTCTTTCTTACTTGTATCATCATCGAAAGTAACCCCAAATTCACTATCTTTGAAAAGAAGATCATTAGGATCATCTAACCCCACTTCAGGCTTATCATTCATTCCTCCTAAATCATCAAAGTAATTGAAATTATACTGATCAAGCAGTTCTTGTTGTTCCTTCTGCAGTTGTTCTTCTAGCTTTTGAAGTTCCTCTCGCTTCCTTCTTTCAACTTCCTCCTCTCTTAATTTGGCTTCTCTTTCTTCTCTTTCCTGTGCTTCTCGGACTTCTTTCTCCTTTTGTTCTCGAGCCCTACGTTCCTCTAATTCCTTACGTTGTTTCTCCAACTCTTCAAGTCGTATCCGTTCCTTCTCTCGTGCTTCTTCTTCAGCCTTACGCTTCCGTTCAAGCTCTTCTTGTAACCGACGTTGTCTTTCAAGTTCTTCCTCTGCTCTCTTACGTCTTTCTTCTTCCTCCTTCAACTTCAACTCCTCTTGCTTCTGTCTGTTCTCGACTATCTGATCAATACACCATCTAGCATCATTGAACTTGCTAATAGTATCGTCTAGTATCTCGTCAAACTTGCCCAAATTGCCCATCAATTGTTGTTCTATGGCTGGTGGGATAATCTCATTGCTACTACCTGCTATCAAGTTACTCAGTCGTTTGTTATTAGCAATAATCTCCACAATGTACCCGGACGTTCTAAGAATATCCTGAAAGGAAACATTCAACTTTGATTCTAGATTCATGACACAACACACTCTCCAACTGGATGAACTAGCTTGTATTAGTTGAAGTAGTTTAGTGGCTCGGTTCAATTCACCTTCATTTGAGGCGGGGAGATTAAAGGTTTAAGATAATCACTTATGTAACAAATTACGTAAGCAGAATCATTGATTTCCGGTTGCTGTAGTCACGTGAGTGCCGGAACGCGTATTCTAATTTATATAAATTCATCAAAAGATCAACACCATTACTTATTCATCTTTACATTAAAAGTTAACGCTCAACAGACAATAGAAGGTATTCTGTCTATAAGCTGCTGTGACCAATCAGATATACACTTGCATTATGACAGATATCATCACCAATAAAGGACCATTGGGTTACGTGTGGATGGCTTCAACTTATGATAGGAAGCTCACCAGGAACCAACTACTAAACACTGATCTTGTTCAATATAGTAACTTGATATCCCACTATCGTATTGGTGGCAACAACAGTAATAATAGTGCGGAAACAACTCCTGATACAACTATAACTACAACCACTACCAATAATAATAAATCCATAACCCTTAGATATTCAGCTCAATTGCTTTATGGGGTCTCCAAGATATACAATAGAAAGACCAAGTATTTGCTTGAAGACTCTAATGAAACATTAACAAAGTTGAAACATAGTTTATATGCCTCAGGAGCCATTTCAGAAAACGCCAACTCCGTTAACGTTGATCCTCATAAAACAATAGTATCTGATCTTAAGAGTCTTATGCTTGAAGACCAAGTTACAAAGTTTGATTTGCTTTATCAAGAAGACTTGAACTTGGATGAACAGGATAGTGACGATCAATCAGCACAAACAATATTTCAACAATTGGCTGCTAGACAGTTGGCCAACCCTAATGAATCTACCTTTGATGATTCAATTGAATATGGAAGAAACTCTCCACTTATAGGAGATAGACAAGATGAAAGCAACATCAGTGACTTGGAAATGGCTGACAATGAAGCAGAAGAAGCAGAAGAAGCAGAAGACGATGAGGATTTAGAATTGAACTTTGAAAGTAATGATATGGCTGATCGTTCAATAGAAATCGGAAGAGATGCCCCACGTTCACCTCTAGCAGCATTGGAGAACGATGATACTTCTATAATTGCTGGCTTGAAAGAAAGAGAGTTTGATTTTGGAGGTTTTGATCAACCTTTACAAACTCTTAGTGACATTGAAGATAATGATTTCCCTGCATCTACTTCTGATAATGAACAACAGTTAGATGATTTTGGACGTCCAATTTCAGCAGCAGTTGTTCTGCCACCTGCATCCAATAGACAATCAACTAATACCAAGAGAAGAAGAACAGGAATCACTGAGCAAGGAGAAATCATTCTCAATAATAGAAAATTGGTAGTGGATGATATTGACCAATTAGAAGGAATCCCATTCAACGCCCTTCGAGAAAACCAAGCAAGAATAATGCATTCCACCAGATTCTTAACCCTTGAATTATCTGAAACTCAAAAGTTGCAATTGATCTATGAACTTTCTGCTCCACCTAGTAAGAAGAGAAAACTTTGGGATGTTGATTCTGAATTGCAAGATGCTTGTATAAAATTGGCACAACAAGAAGAGAAACAAATGAGACAACAACATGAATTGCAATTTAGAAGTTTTGATGACTTTAATGATTTTGGAGATTTTGGGGGGGCCGATTTATCACTACCAGAATTGGATTCTGACATTTCTCGTGATTCAGATTCAGACAGTGAATTACATCTGCTTTATGGGAAACAAACAGATAGGGAGAATTCAATCATAGATATTGAAGAAACCAATGCTCAATCAAGTATTCAGATTGCAGAACAATTGAGAGAGATCTTCAAGGACAATCAAGAAACCAATTTAACACAATTAATTGCTCTGGATAATCAGATTCACGCCATAAACCCTGAAAGGTTCCCCTTATGGCAATCCAAGAATTTAAATTCTGAGTTAATACCTCCACCTAACAATACTAGAAGAGAGGCCGTCAGATGTTTATTTGAAGTGTTAGTTTTAGCCACTAATGATTGTGTTAGTATTGAGCAAGACAATGAAGCCTATAAGCTTCAAAAGGACTTTATCATAAAACCCAAAGACACCTTATATAGTAAATTTCTTTGAAAAAATTAATGAATGAACACTAATACATGTCTTGTAAGCCAGAATCTATGTCAAGATTACGCCTTAATCTTGAAGTATCCTTTAATATGGTTTCATCAATTTCATACAAGGAGACAGACCCATCAAGAAACCCTACCACAAGTTGTTTTCCGTCACTATCAAATGCAATTTTGGTGGGAGAGGTTGCTTCGGTTATAACAATATCAACTATAGGAGATCTCATACGAACCTTCAAATCCCAAAATTGAACTATTGGTGTTAATGACAATGCTAAAGTCACAAACTGGAAATCATAATGGGGTCGTACAGCCAAACCTATTATTAGGTCTTTAGTGGGTATTTCCAATAATGGTTGAGGGTTTGTAAGCATCCATAATTTCAAAGAACTATCAAGATGAGTTGTGATGAAGTATTTCCCCTCTAGAAATGATGATAACGATGTTGGAAGTAGCGACTCACCGGGTCCTGTACTCGTCTTGGTTTCACTTTGATATACTGATTTTATAAGCTCCATATCGTTTCCAAGACGGTACAAGTTACCCTTAGAACTAAGAACCACTAAATTACTTAGAAACTTGTGTTGGTCGATAGCAAAGGAAGCTTCTTGAAGAGCAAGATCACCTCTTAAGGCAACCACCCCCTCAATCCCTATATTTTCAGTGCTCACATTGCCTGTATCATCTTTGGTTGAAGTTTTAACAATATTAATAGAAGAACATTTGGGAGATGCAAGTATACTTGTAGACCATAGGGAGACCATTCCGGAATAAGTAGTAATGACGATTGAGTCGTTATTCTCAATAGATAACTGAGTGAGTGATGATATACCTGAGTTATGAGCTGAATTGTTATTACAATCAGTAGCATTGGGGTGTGGGCTGGAGATCGAAGGTAAAACAATGTATTCGGTTTCTGTGGATGTGGATTGTCTATTTGTTGGATCATTCAAATCCCAAATCACTATTCTTCCATCTGCCAACCCAGCAATGACTCTCTTATTATTGCAGTGATCAAATTGGATTTGACAGATAGACGTGTCACATTCCAACACAAACTCTGTTGTTGGAGGGTTTTTATCAAAGTTGTATACTTTGGCAAGTCCATTCAGTTGATGAGGTGAATCACATCTTGCGTACGACACAACCACCAAACCTGGGAATCGAGCTGACACATCAATTCCCGCTATAGCACGCACATTTGAATTGGCTTCTATTCGAGCCAATAGTTTGAAGGGATTAAAGTCTTCCACATCTGTATTGGTCCCATTAGCAGTAAAGCTTACATCATACTCATCGAAAACAGTAGGCTCTTGTATTTCCTCTTGATACAACGACTTGAGTGCTGCATTGGAATCCTCAATCTGCGTATCCAAAACCGTTGCTTTATCATCATCACCATCATCGCCATCATCACCACCATCATCGTCACCATCATCATGTTCAATTTCTTCTATTGACTCAAAGAATGACTCTACTGTTTGAATACCCTGATTACACTGAATGTCTTCCAAATGCTTCTTGAATCGGACATTAACCACCGTGTCAGAGTTGGCCACAGTGTCCTTATCTTCAATAATTGTGTCAGTCTGAATAGCAATGTCTACTTTACCTGGAGTGGTCTCCAAAATGTTATCCACATCAAGCAGATTGATCTCTTTACTTGGACTTCCAAGCTGGCGTCTCCGTTTAAGCTCTTGGAGCCGCTGTCGTTTCTGCTCAAGAAGCGACTGTCGTTCAGAGTCCATGCTATTATAAGGAAGATGAAAAAGGTAGTAGTTGCAAGTAATAGTACTACCTATAACAATAACAGTAACAATAACAATAACAATTATAGTGTTTTGATTGATTACGTAATATATTAGCTAAAATGTGTGTATATTTCAGACTGGCTTGAGTATATTTGAGTATCAAAAATCATCAAAGTGCACACTGTAACAAGCATAGACAGATACATATATATAAGAGTTGTACATATATACGCTATAGGTGCAAGCTAGGTTATCACGTGACTCAAACTATCATAATACAACGGTATCCAAAGTAACTCAATCATGTCACGTCATGATATTAACGATATTCTTGAAGACTTTGAAAGCACAGCTAAGACAACCCCGGTCTCAGTCAACATATGCAATGAACTCACAACAGCAATGATAAATGAAAGAATGGCTCCTGAATTGCTACCTTATAATCATCAACTAATGGCCAAGGTGCTTCTGAAGTTATCTGCACAACAACAGTACTTACTTGATGCTCATGAATACGGTGATGCTAATGTTGAGTCTGGGGTTATCAGTAGTGACTTCAAACTTCAGTTGATGATAATAGAAACCGATATAGAACGAGTCAACTATTTGGTGCGACTTTATTTGAGAACAAGGATATCCAAGCTTGATAACTTTTCCTTGTTCTACATACGAAAGTCTAACATAGAATTGGATGTGGATGTGGAACCAGAAACGAAGTCAACCAATAAGAATGCTAAACCTTCACATTTGTCGGACGAGGAGTTGGAATATATCCATAATCATTTCCGTATAATGTCTGATCTCTTCAACAACAGTTTCTTAAAGAAACTTCCAAGACTGTTGGCTCTCTTGGATGAAACATCACCAGAATCAATGATCACTGAACCTGATTTGAATGAACCGGTGTTCTTCAGATCGTTGTCCCGAGAAACTATCCGTATAGATGGAGAAGACGAGTTGGATATTATTCATGATGGTGTTTATGTTGCCAGATATAGACTTGTGCAATCTTACGTTCATAAAGGAGATATCGTCCTAATATAGTATTCTCTTAATATTATGTTGTCACAACTGTATAGCCACATCCACCAGGACAATCAACATTCTCATCTTCAACAAACCATTCACGTAGGCACCAGAAATGACCCCTATGACCACATTTCAAACTAACAACAACGTTCAATCCTTTACAAGGTTCATTGCAATAGATACAATTCAGTTGCATCTTGTTACAGTTATCACAGTACCAAAACCCAAACTCTCCTCCCACTTCTCCTTCTCCTCCTCCTACCTTCAGGGCTGTAACCCTATGCTTACTTTTCTCATTGAGTAACAACTTCTGACAATGACAACAGTAGAAGCGTAGATCCACTTCATTCTTGGTATGTTCAACTATTTCGGGCAATAATGCCCGAGGAACACTATTAATCACCTTAGCAGCAATGGAAAAGAGTCTTTTCCTCTTTAAGATATCCACATACGTTAAATACCATTCCATGGCTGCTTCTTTAGTCACCACCCCAGTGTCATAAAACAACAGACATAAAGTACAACACATGATAATGTCACCTTGTTGAGCAGAGTACTCCAATAATTGTTCTAGTATCTCCTTCAACTTCCAAGGTTTATGGACCTCATACTCCTTTGTCTTCTCATGATCGATGGCTCTGGTCAATTCCGATCTGGTATCCACTTTAGAACTTTCCTGTTCTGTCTTCTCTTCAACATCATTAGCATCACCATTAACATGTTGAAGACTACGTCTTTGGAACGCCATTTTACTGCCTTGCAAAAAGGTTGAATCTCGTCTTGACAAGGTCCCAGGCCCAGCAGACCCAAAATGAGTCATTTGGAGAGACCCGTACAACACTGGAGATGCTGATGATGCAGAGCTGAACAGGAACCTTGAGCTTGGAATCTCATTATCCAAATCTTCAAATGCTTGGGCCCTGGTAGTGGTTGAATATTTCCTATTCAATAGAGGACTTTGCTGTAGGGAACCACTATAAACCGAATAAGGTCTCATAGGAGGAACTGTATCAATATTCAATTTCAACTTACGTGATCCTTCTTCGGAATTATTATCAACCAGTGGTTGAGTTAAAATGCCCTTTATCTTTTGATCCGTTGCCCCAGAAGAAGAAATAGCAGCTTGTTCTGCATCTTCAACACCATCACCACCTTCTTCATCGTCATCATCCTCTATAGCCACTTCATTGAAGGCTGCGTCTTTGAACTGAGCATTCCTGGAGAATATCGTACTGTTAACTCGAGAGATATTGGGACTGGTGAAACTATTACCTCGACTTTTAGCTAACATCTCCACCAAACTACTGGTAGAATTATTTTTGATCTTAACCCTTTCTTCAGATTCAGTTTCAACACCACCATGATGGTCTTTCAACTCTTGATAATTATTATTAGTGGTCAGTGATGACATTGAATTGAAAGAACCAACGAGATTACCAAGTTCTGACAGGATTGACTTGAGTTCTGGTAAATCCAGACTTTCACTACTAAAGTTCTTAGTTTCATTATTATTGTTATCATCACCATTATCTTGTTGATAGGTTGCCTTTCTTCTTGTTTGGTTGTCATGATAATCTTCCACCGCTATGGCTAGAGCCTGCCAACTCTGACAATGACGGAACTTATTAGCGCTAGCAGCATATTCAGCATTGAATAAACATACTCGAGCCAATGAAAAGCTATCTGGGATCTCCAATAGATAAGATCGGGCTATGATCTCAAAGCCAACCTCATCATTCAACGGCAATGGAATAGAAACAGGACAAACATAAGGACTGGTATAGTTTATACTCAAGTATCTCTTTTGTCCTGTTAAACTTGATGCTGAATGGCCAGATGCTTGAGTCATTTGGGAAGGGTTTCTCTTTAAAACTGGTCGATTATGGACCCCCTCTGAATTGGAATGCTTTAATGCTGGAGACCCTGGACGAGGAATAAACATATTATTATAGCTTTGAGGTCTCAAATAAGCCCTATCTTTAGGTGAGACCGAATAATTGGAAGAAATGAAATCCATAGGATTAGCAGTCACGGAGGCCATACCGGGAGTAATAGGAATTGAAACTGTGTTATGTAAAGGTTCATCTACTTCTTCCACTAAATTCAACAGATTCATGGCTAATTCACTTGCAACATCCAGAACACTTTCGGCAGCTTCAGTATTGATAGAAGACAGAGTTTCTACATTTATTTGAAACTCATGACGTTCTTGATCAACGAATGAAAAGTCACAGAACCCATTGGACCACCCAAGGGTCACATCATTTAAATCTTCAATGGGATGAACAATATGATCGGAATATGAGTCTAAATCATAAGAGACAAAGTCATTGGACTTGGATATCGACCATAATTTTCTTGAAAAGTCTGTGTTGTTGGCCCAAATAAAGTTTTGGAATGCCTTTAGATTCTTGGTATAAATTGTATCTCTGGCAATGAACTTCCGTCTTAGATTGAACACTGAAATGGTTGGATCGTCATTCAAATAGTTACAGGCAAAATCATAATGGAACAAAGGATCTGAAGGTGTGATAGATGCACTGGAAAGAAACTCTCGTTCATCATACGAGAGCTTATCATCATTCGAATAAGTAGATTCTACGTTGTCATTTCCACTACCATTGCCACCATATTTGACAGGGTAATTAGACCATCTAACCTTCATAACAGGACCATAAGTGTTGATGATAAAATCAGGACCAGGACCAGCTTTAGTACCACCAGAGATTGAATCTCCATAGCTACAAACACACATTCTCTTGTCTCTTCCACCAGTAATAACGTACTCCTTTTCAGGATGTATATGCAATGATAATGCTGGACCCGTATGGAAATTCCATTTCCTTTCAGGATTATTAATCAAGTGTTGATAATTGGAATTGCTTCTCAAATCATACTTACAAAGAGACCCGGAATCATGAACTGATAAGATGGTGAGTTTGTTTCTTCTTGAGGAATGTGGAGAATATTGACACGATCTGATGGGATCTGAATGGTTACTGAATGAAACGGAAATCATTGGTTTGGGAGAAGCTGCTCTTAAATCCCAAAACTTGATAGTACCATCTTGAGATCCAGATATTAACAAGTTGGCCAGATCATCAACAAAATCAAGAGAATTGATTGTTCTTCTATGATCCACTAATTTATGATATAAAGTAGCAGATCCTCTATTTGAAAGTCTATAAATGGAAACATCACCATTTGAAAGTCCACATGCAATTGTATCATCTTTAGTCTTTATAGTGTTGACCATATTAAGCTTTGCATTACGGTGATTGGCATAGACCGAAGACGACTTGCCTGCATCAAGAAGGTTATATTCTTTCACTACTCTTGTTTGTAGAGTATCTAGAGCCAATAGTTTCAAGTAGTTCTTCCCACCTATGACCACATGATGTTTTGGAGTTTCACCACCCCAATTTATGGGATGAGACAATTGAGAGAGTGCAGTCACTTCTCGTTCACAATGGTAGGTCAATTCGGAAGATCGTGATGGTATATTATTGTTGATGTTGTTATTGGATGACTTTAATGATGAAGGGAATGAATTACCAGGAGATGATAACAGAGATCCACTCTCCAGTCCATTCAGTTGACTCAAGTTACCATAGAAGTTCTTTGCAAACTTGGTGAAGCTCAGATGATGACCGGTAGAGCCAGACATGATGGGACGAGTAGAAGCAGTGGTAGTAGTAGCAGTAGCAGCAGTAGTAGTAGTAGCAGCAGTAGTAGTAGCAGCAGTAGTAGTAGAAGCAGTAGTAGTAGTAGTAGTAGCAGCAGTAGTAGTAGTAGCAGCAGTAGTAGTAGTAGCAGCAGTAGTAGTAGCAGCAGCAGTAACAGTAGCAGTAACAGTAACAGTAGTAGCAGCAGTAGTAGTAGCAGCAGCAGTAACAGTAGCAGTAACAGTAACAGTAGTAACAGGAGCAGTAGTAGTAACAGTAACAGTAGCAGTAACAATATAATTGCACACTAGTTACGTTCCATAATAATTTCGGACATAAAACAACACTATGATTATTTCTCAATCGTTATACCACTATTAACCAGTCCGTTTGATATACCAATTCAATGCCTTAACTCATGTCATAGTACCAATATAGCATATCAATCGGTACTTACTCTTTGTTTTGTATGGGGAAGTTATATACAGGCTTCGCGGAAAATTAACTTCTGCAATCGATTGTCCCACTGTGGTATGCCAGTGACTACATGCTGCTATTGCACCATGGTATAGCTTTACTCTACTACTACTGTAGTATGCCACTATACACTGCTGTGATCTAATACTGTGATAGTGTACTACTGTAGTATCACCCCTATTCTGTTCCATTACGTACTGTTCCTATTAGACTCCGTAGTTGACTCACGGGAGCGTTTCGTCTTTAGTGTATATAGTGACGATTTGAGTGTGATATAACGGTATCCGAGGATTCAAGTATTCAAACGTATAAACACGATAAGGCTACAGTCGCTACTACTACCACATCTATTCTTACTACTTCCTCTACGCCTCCCATATCATGGCATCGCTTCTCCTTCTTAAACTATTCAAATACGTCAAGATCGCAACTCAAGTGGGTGTATCCTTTGGAGCGCTACTCCTTCTAGGTCTCTACACCTTCCAATGCAAATTGATATACCCTAGCGGTCTCAATGACGGCAGAGGCCATTGCGCTACTCCAGATGAATATGATATGCCTAATTATGAGTTGGTATATTTGGAAACTGATGATAAGGAACGGCTACAATGCTTCCTGTTGAAACATGACCCCTTATCTCCAAACTACAGTAACAAAACGGTACTTATTCTTTCTCCCAATGCTGGGAACATAGGACATGCTTTGCCTATAGTGTCACTTTTCTACAATAAGTTTGGCTATAACGTCTTCATCTATTCCTACAGAGGGTATGGCAAATCCAGTGGATCACCCAGTGAAAAGGGTCTCAAATTAGATGCTCAGAGAGTGGTCAAACACTTGACGGAAGAAGACACTCAATATATGAAATCAAGTGTCATTCTTTATGGTCGTTCATTAGGGGGAGCCGTGGCTATTTATATTTCTGCTACCATGTCAAAGGCAGTCCTGGGGTTAATATTAGAGAACACCTTCCTTTCAATAAGAAAATGTGTACCTCATATCTTCCCACTACTCAGGTTTTTTACAATGTTTGTTCACCAGAGATGGGAGCTGGAACAGTTGTTGAGCCTAATCCCTGATTCCATTCCCGTATTACTCTTGAGTGCCAGAAAGGATGAAATCGTGCCTCCAGAACATATGGACCACATTAACCAAACTTTAAACTCTACCTACAAAGAGATGCATACATTCCCTGATTCGGACCACAACGATACGGTTTGTCAAAGGGGTTACTGGGAGATCATTCATGAGTTTATAAAACAGAATGTTAATCCAGTAGGTTACTAGTATTATTATCAAAATGTGTATTCTTTTATATAATTTTACATGCTCTCATCATACCTTTACAACACAATCTTCTTATCCTTGGCTTCGTCATCATGAGAAGAAAATTCCACCTTATGATCGTCGGATAACCTTAAAACCTTCTTGAATCTCTCTCCAACAGGTCTCAACTTCTCTTCGTTACAATCCTTGGTCCAGATACCAATTCTGGTAGCCTTAGACCTGATATTCAAAACAATCCCGTTAACTTCGTCTTCGTCATCTTCAATGGTTTCACCAATAACGGATAATAATCCTCTTAACCATAATTCATTGATTTGACTGGCTTGCTCAGACTTCTTAGCGAAAGCATGTTGCCATTTACCACCCTTTGAGTTTTGTTCATCTTCCCATTCGGGCTTGATACCCTCCTTGAACAAATGGTAATCAGATTTCATAGGCAATTGGTTGGCAGATGGAATCGAATTGTAAATACCCCAAAACTCTTCGACAGATGAAAAAGTTATCACAGGCTTTAACAAATCGTGCCAGCTTTCACTAGAACTGGTTTGAGGCTTGGTGTACCATAATGTCCACTTGCTGTTCAAGGGGTGCTTTGCGGTGAATTCTTCCTTATCGGAGAGCACAGTGGTGGGTTGTGAGTCCAATGATAATTCGTCGGTCTTAGTAGTTAATTCTTCAGACATTATACTTCTATAAAATCGTTAGTATTAATCATTAGTAGGTATCTGACACGTCGTCTAATGACGCCCTATCTATGACATACCGCTTAGATATTGGATCTGGTGTGGATTATGGACTAGACAGTAAGCGTCTAGGCAGTTTCATTTTGTAGGAAAATTTTTTTGGTAGTCGAGGGTCCGCGCGTTAATTTCAGTCTGCTTAAGTATATATGAGCACTCAATGAGGGTATGAAGCTATACACTGTCACCAATATATATTACATCATAATAACATCATACTAATCCTAGACCATAACAACTACTGCATTGATGTTGTTGATATATTCACTATAAACATACTCACTATAAACATACTCACTATAAAAAAAAACCGTATATATAATCCTTAAGCCAATGCCCCAATAACAGCAAGCATAAGCCCCCCTAAACCTCCATAACTATTCAATCCAGCTACTGCACCATCATTCTGAGCAATAGTGGTCTGTGAGTAGCTCCGTACAACACCCACGCTGCCTGAAAGTGATCCCATACCAATGTCTGCGGACGACACGGTTGCTGTGGCTGCGGTGTATGTTGACATGAACGACTGCTTGAAAAAGTAGGACGACGTGGTGATGATCCCGTTCGTGGTAATGGTTGTCCAAGCCAACGTGGACGATGTAGTCAAGGTGGTATCACCTTCAATCTGGTTGGCCAAGCCTGTGACCAAGCAAACAAGGGATAGGATACCGAGGAAGAGTCTGGGAACCAACATGAGCGAGGAACTGTGTGAGGAGGTAACGAATGGATGGACGGATGGGCTTGCAGTCTTTTATTCTCAAGTAGTATGTGGTGATATCCTTGAGTATTAGTTATTGGTATAGATGAATATAAGCACTGTACCGTATTATATTATAGTATCTTGTTATGTGTATACAAGTATGTTGTTGGTAGTACCGTGGGCAGTGTTTATATCCGGAGTCGCGAGAGCAGTCCTGGAGTCGTGCGGTTCTCAATCAGGCCCTTGGAAAAACTCATCTAAAGGCGATGAGCCGTTGACAGAGTTGCAGCCACAAGGGTACCATCATTGTAAGCAACGACATGGCTAGAGAGACGCTCCAACAGCAGCTTGAGAAGCTCACGCGTCCCCAGAAGGACTTTGACATTGAGGACGAAGAGTTGAAGGTCGATGCGTTTGACCGTGACGGGTCTGGAAGTGAGTCAGAATCAGAGAACGAAACTGCAAAGAGAGACCACTATGTTACTGTAGGGGAGTCGGCATTAAGAAAGAGTGAAGCAGTTCGTTTAGGTGGCAAGTATAAGGGAAGTGCTATATCTAGAGATGAGTTGTATGGGGAGCAGCAGGAAGTCTCTGATGAAGAGGAGGATGCATCTGAAGCATTTGAGGATGAACAGGAACAAGCAGAATCCGATGATGATTCTGGAGCTTCGTTAAGAGCTAATTCTGACGACGAAGAAGACGATGACGACGATGACGACGACGATGACGACGACGACGACGATGACGATGGCGACGACGATGACGATGGCGACGATGACGACGACTTAGCTCACAAACGGAATAAGTTGAAACAAATGATGTCTAATGAAAAGAAACATATCGTTAGTCGTTTATCCCAAGACGGAAGCAACAATGCATTAAAAGGATATGCCATTCTACAACAGAATAAACTATTTGATTCATTGATTGAGTCTCGGATGAAGGTGCAACCGGCTATCACCAATAGTAACCTTTTGCCTGCCAATAGTCTAGTATTGGACCATGAAGGGTTATCTACTAAGAAAACAGAGAAATACATAGCCAAGGCTAAGGATGCTTGTTATGATCTTTTGGATAGAATATTTGTATTGCGTCAACAAATGATCGAGACTGAATCTATTTCCACCACCAAAGTCAAACATCCAAAGAAGAGAACGTTATCCAAATATTTGGCTACTAGCGAATCATATGACTCCATATTGAACAAGTACAGACAGTCGGTTCTTGTTAAATGGTCAGCTAAGATCCAGAACACCAGTGGATCCAGTGCTATCAACAGTGGCAAGTTCAAAGTAATCAACCAATCAGCAGAGCAACAAGTTCAGAACAACTTGATGGATATGGATAGACTCGTCAAGAGAACAAAAACCAATAGAAGACAAATCATTCCCTTGGGCCACAAATATTATGTGGAACAAGCAAATGATGAAAAACCGCATAAAGATGAAGCAGACAATGAAGATGATGAAGATGACGAAGAAAATATTGATATTCCAAAAGATCAAGGTAAAGATAAAAATAGCATGGAACAAGTTGATACTATTTTTGATGATGAAGACTTTTATAGACTATTACTTAATGATTTGGTTGACCGGAAGATTCAAGCTCAGAATCCAACCAGTGGTTTGAACATCACTATGAGAAGTGCCAGGGCCACCAAGTTCAAGAAGAACGTGGATACCAAGGCTTCCAAGGGAAGAAAGTTACGGTATCAAGTCCAAGAACCCATTGCTAACTTTGAGACTTCAAAGGGAGGATGGAAATGGAACGATGAACAAATAGATGAGTTCTTTGCATCTTTATTGGGCCAGAAGGTTAATATGGAAGAAGAAGATGAAGAGGAAATGGATGGGGAAGAAGAATTGATCACTACTGGTGAAGAAGCCATTAGATTATTCGGATAAATAAAATTAATATAATTCGGATAAATATTACTTCTATAGCATTAATGGAATAATTATACATCTCTATTAACATTATCATTACTTTCTAATCTTAAGAATGATATAAGTAGCTAATCTGTAAGCAAAGATTAAGGCAATAGTAAGACCCATCCATAACCCAACATCCTCCTTACCATAACCAACAGCTTTCAACACAGCATCGCCAGAGATCTTACATTGATCTTGTAATGGAGATGCATACATACATTGGCATCCTTTACCACAATCAAACACTCTGTCAGGTTTAAATTCATTGAACATCATACCTTGGAACACAAACCGTTGGTAGTTGATCCAATAAAAAGTATAACGCCAAAAGGCATTCAACACATTGGTGGAAACAAGGAACCCTCCAACAGACATCCAAAGACCATTCATAAAGGCTGTCAATGCCAAGGCTATCACAAACATGGGGAAAGCAGTTGATACCATGACGGTCATGGATTCGGCAGCCACAAGATCAATGAACAACCAAGTCAAATACATACCAAAGCCAGACCCAGAGTGTCTGAAGTTGCACATGAAATAAGTGACGATGGAGAAGAGTAACGAGATACCAAACAAGAAGGGGATCCCCACTATGAAGTTAGATACAACAAAGGCAAACGGACCATAAAGTCCGTTCAAATGTTCCTTCTTGTACAGTTGATAGTCTTCCAAGTAAGCTGGAATATAAGCAACAGACATGAACGACATAAAGGCACCGGAGAAGAAGATGGCATTCATAAAAGGTTGAATGTTCTTCTGTTGCGTTCCTAATCGAAGCCAGACGGTTCCCATCATGATAGCCAAGCCCAAATACATGGCTACTCTGGCGTAGTAGGCCAAAAAGTCTCGACGAGACTTGATCAAGAGACGGTGGGTCAAATAGTAAGTTTGTCTCAAGTTGTAGATGATTCCAGAATGGTGTTGTTGTTGGTCAGCGTTGGAGTCCTGTGGTTGTTGGTCAAAGGGATCAGCTGACTTTTCAGTGTCATCCTCGGACATTGAGTACCGTGGTCTCTTGTCATCCCAGAGACTCTTCAATTGGTGCACCACTTGAACCTTATCAAGGGCCGCCTGGTTATTATCATTGTTGTTGTCGTCGTCGTCATCGCCATCGGATTTGAAATCGGTGTTAATCAACTCCAAAATGAACTCCGCAGGGTTGTAGTGAGTAGGAATAGGGTACGGTGTGACGGTGTTGAAGTAGTCGCATACCTCAGACACCTTCCCGTTGTAGACGGTGATACCCTTGGAGAGGAACAACACCTTATCAAACAAGTCAAACGTGGCTGTAGATGGCTGATGGATAGAAACAATGACCATCATGTTGTTCTCGGCTGCAAGATGTTTTATAGACTGAATGACCTTGTGAGAAGCCGTGGAATCAAGTCCTGAGGTTGGCTCATCAAGAAACAACACTGAAGGTTGGGTAATCACTTGTGCTGCGACTGAAAGACGTCTCTTTTGGCCTCCACTAATCCCCTTCTGGAGTGGAGTGCCGACTTTAGTGCCAGATTGACCTTTCAACCCCAAGGATGCAATGATTTCAGCGACTCTTTCTTTCCTTTCCGAAGCAGTCGATTCAGAGTCTGTGAACTTGGCTGCGAAATCTACAGTTTCAATCACCGTCAAGGACCCGATCAAAGAGTCTTCCTGTTCAACATAAGCAGAGAACTTGCTGATGTTTCTGGAGGTAACTTTCCCAAGATTAGTGGTCATACTTCCAGAGCTTGATGCTTTCGGTGGGATGCCACGATGGGCTAAGACGTTTAATAAAGTAGTCTTACCTGAACCTGATGGACCCATAAGAGCAATCATTTCTCCGGCTTTCAATTCCCCAGATGCATCTGTCAAGAGATTAATAGGGTTCCCAGTGGCTCTATCGGGGACTGTGACATTGATGTCGTTCCAACGGAAAACCAGAACAGACATATTTATAGGCAGTAGTAACTGTAGTAGTAATAATAGTACTTATAGTAACTTATAGCAGTATTAATGTAATAATATATCAGTAGAATAATATAATAATAATAATGTTGAACAAATAATACTGGCTTTCTCTATATATAAATACTATAAGAAAACTCCGACACTATCATCTGCTACGCACTTTGAGACGATTGCGGCTGAGATGTCACTACAATGTGAAACTAATTCCTTATGTACCACCTGATAATCGTTGATTGCAAAGTTTGTTCTCTAACCCCGACACAAGAGCCCCGATGTTGTTCGGAAGGCTTTGTGTGATCTACGGCTGCCCCATACGTTTTCCTTTTTTCACCACAATTTTAGTACCAAACCGTAGCCTCACTTCACGCCCCTTAGTGTCCACCTTCAGGAGACTACATATCGTCTAGTTACGCCACGGTGTGGCAGCTGCCATCTACTTGATAAAGTGTGTGCGTTTGATGAGACACACCAACCTTGCTCGGGAATTGCTGCATTTGGGTGTAGATTCTGTCGGCCCTGCACATGGAAACCCCGATGCTGTGGTTGCGGTGAATGAAAAACGTCCACTGGTCGCAGCACTAGTTTATAATCCAAGTGGTTATGACAAGCTGATTAGCTAATGTGATGACTACTGAAAAAGAAACCATTACTTGGCAATCACATTCGAAATAGCAACTGAAGATCTAACTGTAGCGGTCAGCTCGTAGCGGTCAGCTCATAGCGGTCAGCTCTTAACTTAGATCTCCCCTTCTTTTCCTTGCTATGTACATTCTATGTGAAATCTTTCCTATGTATACGGAAATGTTCAACGTATCCTTGTGGCTTAACCTCGAGCCCTCTAGTTCTATCGGATACACCAGCATGTTGAACTTGGACGTGTCACGTGATCAACAGATACGCTCACTATTAGCCTTGAGCGAGTAACTACCAAGTCCTAATCAACCCTGTCATTCATACCACAATTATGCGTCACAGCTTCATATCTTTCCCGGATAAGAACGCCCTTTTACAGAGGTACGGCGGTTCCCACGTAGACACCCTTCCTACGCCAAGTGCAATCATTGACTATGGAAGGTTCAAAGACAATTGTGATAAGATGATCACCAACGCCAAAAGATTACAGTGCCATTTCCGTCCACATATTAAAACTCACAAGACTGTGGAGGGCACATTGCTTCAACTTGGTGATGGTTTCACCGATCGTGCAATTGTGTCTACTATGGCAGAAGCGTGGGGGATCTTGCCTCTTCTCCAAAATGGCACCATTAACACCTTGTTACTCTCCATGCCATTGGTTACTTCTTCCATAGAGGAATTGATGGAATATTCCGTCAAATGTGGATCCAGTAATAAGTTGGTGATCTTAGTAGACCATATCACCCAATTGGATACTTTGCTTGCATTGGGAGGTCATTTACCTTGGGAGATCTACGTCAAGATAGACTTTGGATATCATCGTGCAGGTCTCTTCAATAATACTTTGAGTCTTCGCTCTGTTATCTCCAAAATTATAGACCCAACTAATATGCTTCTGTTGTACGGTTTCTATACCCATGCTGGTCAGTCGTATCTGGTTGCTAATCCTCACGAAGCCCACAAGTTGTTGCTACAAGAGATTGCCAGTGTTAACGAAGCTGCTGCCTTTGCAGTGGAACAATTTAATTACAATACAGCCTCCAACCGGCCCTTACAACTTTCAGTAGGCGCAACTCCGACAGCACATGCTTCTAGTATGTTGGCATATTCCAAACTGCAAATAGAATCCGATATCAATCAGAAACTCTACGGAGAATTGGAACTTCATGCTGGGAACTATTGCTGTTGTGACTTGCAACAAGTAGCCACTAACTGTTGTGCGACTACCGTGGTAGCAGCAACAGTGCTTGCAGAAATTGTCTCTAATTACACTGACGACGGCAGATACGATCAATTGATCAATGCTGGAGTATTGGCACTTTCCAGAGAGAGTGGTCCCTATGAAGGTTATGGTCATCTATTGAGCAACCATGACTGGTACGTTGGAAAATTAAGTCAGGAACACGGAATTTTATATCCGTTCGGACACAAGCAGCAGATGCATCAGCCGTTCCTCCCGATCGGATCTAAAGTCCGAATTCTTCCTCAACATGCTTGTATAACTTTGGCCTGTCATCCTTATTACTTTGTTGTTGATGATAAGAATATAGTGATAGACATTTGGGTCCCTGTTAAGTACTGGTGATAAAGGCTTACTAATATTATATTTTTATTACTCTATTAACAAGTTCTAATTTTACAAAACCTGGTACACAGGAGCTCCATCCGAATTAACGTAAATGGGACCCTGTACTGTCTGGCCATCGATTGTGTGTACTGTTTGGCCATAGAACAGAATATCAGGTCTACCCACAAATTTATCCCAGATTTGGGAAACATATGCCATTATAAAAGTGTAAACGGATCCAGGTAATGTCACATAAGAGTTTAACACAAACTTTATAGCCTGGAATACTTCTTCTGTAGCTAACAGCCATTGCAGACGAGTTGCAATTTCACCGTTAATGGGGCTTGTTTCAGTTGATCCTTCTTCTTTACTAGTAGGAGGGGAGTTTTTTCTTGATGATGATGACGGTAATGACCCACTTCTTCCCTTTGCAATGGCCTCACCAACAAATGGGAAGCCAAAAGTGTTTGTGGAATTTTCATAATCACCTAAAGTTGCCTTCCCAGTAGCTACGTCATCAAGATGTTGTAAATACAACTTTTTGAAATTATTAATAGATTCGATAGACTTGGAAAGTCTATCAAAAGTGTTGAATAATGCCACCAATTCCGTTCTTTTGAAAGTGATATCATCTTTTTCTTCATCAGTTTCAAAGAGAATCTTAAGAGCAGTACCATATCCAATAGTTTGAACTTTCCCCCACATTCTGCATCTATCACATCCAACACAGTCCATGATAGCAGAGACGTTTCTGAATCTTGCTCTAAATTCGTCTTTCAAAGTTGGACCTACGACCTCAGGATCAAAAAGAGATGAGGTATCAATCAACTTACTTTGCGAAAACATAGTAGTTAAGGCATCCAAAGGCCCTTCATAGTCAACCAATTGATCAAAGGGGATTTTTCCTTCGTCTCTTTTAATAGAATCAATCACAGGACTAATAGTGTTCAATTTGGCAATGGCAGAAGATACCAAGGCATAATTGAAGTAGATATTCGATAATCTATCATTGTAAGCACCAACTCTTTCCATAAATGCCTTCAAATTAGCATAGTATTCCCCAGTTTCTGGGTTCAAGTAATCATTGGATAAATGAACGGCAATGGAAGCATGCATCCCACTAACCAAACGATAAAACATTTGCTTCTCAGTACAAATGCCATCTGTTGAGCTTGTCAAGTTCATTACGTCGCCATTTGCAAACGCAGTATTGACGGTTGTCTCAGGGAAACAGTTTTCCTGGTAGATAGCTTTCCAAACATCAAAAGATTGAGTACCACCATAACCGGTGAATCTCTCTGGGTTCTCGACTAAATCAACATAAACACATTCATGGCCGTCATCGATAAAAGTGTACTCTTCATCACAAGTCAGATTGGTGCCATCTTCCACGCTAATCTGCGCAAGCTTATTGGGACGAACATCTTCATTCGAAACGTGTTCCCAGTCGTATTCCGAGATTGGCAAGACTTCAACGGCACAGTTCTCGGTGGCACAGAAGTGTTGGGCGTTCCAGAACTTACACTGTTTGTCCAAGTCAAGTTTGAAGTGTCTGAAATAAGGAGTTTTCACCAAAGAGGCGATGTTCTCCCGCACATAACTGTTGGCTGTGTCAATGTAAGCAAACGTCGTGTTACATTCAGGGGTGATGATCTGGGAACAATAGTCAAAAGTATTAAACGGAGTGAACGCTCCGGCGAGTCCTATGAGCGACGTCATGATACTCAACATTAGCATCACCAAAGACATCATCATAATTGGTAGCTGTTGGTAGTATCACTGTTTGTAGCTAACTGGTGGTGTATGAGAGATGGCGTTATATTTCGCACTCGATCTGATCAGGCTAGACAGAAAATGGTATGCTTTAGGACACGACGTGCGGTGGCACTAGAAGACCCCAAGACACAGTAAAGACTAAAAGACGGTAGTATAAACACAGTAGTACAACAGTAGTAGTACCAGGCACGTTATAGTAGTATGATAGGCTCTATTATATATATTAGTAATTAGAATATAGAATAATCAATGGTTATAAATCGACGTGTCTTTACCGATTGTGATAGTACACTTGATATGTATACTAAATATATATATATGTATATAATAACCTTATTGCTATCTAATCTACCTACTAATATTTATACACTGTTATTATTGCCACCAATGGTGTTATGGCCACGGTGTCCAGAAAATGGTGCCCTCTAAGTGCATTCGCCATTGCAGTACATATTTATACACTCCTATAGAATACAGTAGAAATGTTCGGATATATACTGTTTTGTGTCGTGCACGACAGCTGACTGTCACTAATATTACTATTCTTATTAATTATATGCTCTAATCAAACTTTATCTTCTTAGCGGTCTTTGTCATATCTACATCCTTAAAGAATGCACCATATGCCAGATGTGCCTTCTTCTTCGTGTGTCCACCAAACTTCAATAACTCTTCAGGTACTGGTTGATTGGCTCCACGAAGAATGTTACATAATGCACCACTCAAATGTTTCTCATGGTCAGTGAACAACGTATGGGCAATCCCAGTTTGGCCCGCACGACCAGTTCTACCAATACGGTGAACGTAATCTTCAGCAGTTAATGGGAATGTTAAGTTAATCACCACCTTAACGTTGGGGATATCCAATCCTCTGGCTGCAACATCTGTGGCCAACATAATCGTGGATTCTCCTGATTTGAAACTATTTAAAGCCAGTGTACGTTGCTGTTGAGAAAGATCTCCATGAATGGCGGCCACATGATATTGGTTCCGTTTCAATAACATCTCCACTCTACCAGCTTCCTTTTTGTATAAGGCAAAAATTAAAATCTTATCGGGTCCGTTAACGTACTTACGCAATAAGCCTAATAACTTACGTTCCTTCTCTCTAGGGTCAATCACTTCAACCACTTGAGTAATACGCTTGTTGGCACTTAATTCGTCCCGATCTCCAATACTTACCTTCACTGGACTTTTCATAAATGTGCTGGCTAATTCACGCACTTCCTTGGGCCATGTGGCTGTGAACATAAGAGTTTGTCTGTTTTTGGGGGAAGTATGACCGATAATTCTCTTGATATCTTCTTCAAATCCCTTCTCCAACATTCTGTCTGCTTCATCCAAAACTAAGTAGTCAACATGACTCAAATCAACTTGTCCACCTTCCAATAAATCCAAGAGTCTACCAGGAGTAGCAATCACCACTTGAGCTCCTTGTAATTCTCTGACTTGGTCATCTTTGGAAACACCACCGTAAACACAAACACATTTTATATCTTTGGTTAAGGTGACTAAATTATCATAAATTTGAACAGCTAATTCTCTTGTAGGGGAAATACACAATACTCTGACATTCTTCTTTTTGGTATCTTCATTTAATAACTTGTGAATGGCTGGAACACCAAAGGCAAACGTCTTACCTGAACCGGTCTCAGCAACACCAATGACATCTTGACCAGATAACAAGTATGGCCAAGCCACTGCTTGGATAGGGGTTGGTTTGGGGAACTTGGTTACAACACCTTGGATAGTAGGGTGCAACTTAACATGTTCGAAAGAAAGTAATGGTCTTAATTTGGAATTAGTTGGATCTTCAACTGTAACTTCATTAGTAGATAAAAATTCATCAACTTCTGATTGAGCAACTTTAGTCAATGCAGGTGATTGAGTATAAGTACCATCTGATTCTGGCTCAACATTCTTTTCGTTGTTTTCTTTAGATTCTTTTTTATCTTTCTTGTCCTTCTTTTCCTTCTTTTCCTTCTTGTCCTTCTTTTCCTTCTTTTCCTTCTTTTCTTTCTTTTCCTTCTTTTCTTTCTTGTCCTTCTTTTCCTTCTTCACTTTGGTGTTGACATCTCCGAGAGCCTCGGCCTTTCTTTTCTTATCTTCCTTAGCCATGGTGTTATTACTGTAGTTAACCGTAGGGCCTCATCGCATCTCATCTCATCTCACTTCAAGTCAAATATAACACCACGAAAACTCTTCGCGGTGCTACCATATATAATTGCTTATGTAATCTACAATCAAAGCGTTAGAACAATCGCGTACGGTTTGATTACTAGTTACAGCTAGCAGTAGTAGTCATTAGAACAATATGGAAACATTGCTCAACCTATGTTCCAGCGTCGCTGTTTGATTCAATTACATAAATACAGAGCTTATAAGCACACAGCTCATTCATTTATTTCATCTGTCAAATGAACATACTCGAGCTGAAATCAATTTATGTCTTATGGTGTGAAACTTTATAATTTAATAGCATTGGTTAAGAACAAGCTTGTAGAGTCAACCATAAGTCGTAATGTTGATATAAAGCTTTGTGGGACATTAAGTACCGTATGAATGGCCATTGACAAACTTCGAGTTGTGAGTAAAGACACTCTACCTCTGAATTCACAATATAGGATCAGCTAAGACCACAATGTATCACAATGTAGCACCATTAATAGGATGTGTTTATTCCAGTATTACCGATTAAACTAATGCATAGCTTATAGGACAATGAACTAAACAGAAGATATATTTCATGCATTCGTCGCTATTTGTGTAAATATTCTGCATATACCGCGATAACTTTTACAAGCAACCACATAAAAGCTTCGGTGCATTATGTACCTGCGTATGTGTTTTTGATCTGTTAGATGTTACTTTAACTATTTTTTGATCTGTCAGATATTACACTCACAACTTTTTGATCTGTTGATCAACATTTTTAAACGTTATAAAAGGTCAATATGTATCATTTCTTCATTTATGAATTCCCACTCGAGAACGTAATCGGGAAGAGACTATCATCGTCCAAAATGATGGAAAAGAAGTTGACAAATAGTAATAAGGAAGCTTTCTCAGAAAGTCAAACTGCTACCAGATACCGTGCAATGGAATTTAGATCGACAGCATTGACTGTATTATGTTTGGGTGCTCTATGGTACATACTAACTCAGAATGGCAGTACTTGGGTATTTCCAACACTCGCGTTAACGATTATAGATAGCATTAAAACTTTATCATTGAAAGATATCAAGTCTGCTCCTGACATGGTTAATAAATTTGTTCTTAACATGCTGACAAGTCTTAAGGTTATTATCCTTATAAATTTACTCATTATTGTAATAGTTTATTTCATGGATAAAAGCAAAAAATTGCCCGAGGGTAGTATCCAAGTATCAGAAAGGGTATCATTGATAATCACTAATTGCTTATTAGGTTTCTCTGCGTTCTGTATTTTCTATTGTATTTGGTTATTATTGAGTCCATCAGAGGAGGCGTTACATTTTGGTAAAAGATACCTGCTGGGTGTAGGTCTAGTTATTTTCTTTGTATTAACTGGATTCGACTTTTGGTCTAATATCGTTCTCCATATAAAATCACATCCATGGTTATCAGCTATTCTTGAGATATTGTCATTTTTTGCCGCTTTGATTTTTGCGAAGTATTCTATCCAGGAATTCAAAGAAGGATTCGTATGCATTATATTTAAGGACTAGTTCAATGGGTTGCACTTTGTCTCCTGCATCTTTGTATGTCAGTTGCAAAAGCAATGATGCAGAGTGAATTTTTTTATACCTATCAGCTTCTTTTATCAAAAATAGCAGTAATAGGTACCAAAGCAGAATCAATGAGAATTTGTTGTAGCTAGAATAGATACATCTCTAAAAGTAAAGTGTTATGTCTAGGCTATCTTTCTGCGCATAAGCTATCCAACCACAAGAGTTCTATTAACTTCGACACAGTGTTATTCCAAGACATGAAGAATGATAGCGGATTAATTATTTTGTACAAATGGTACCCAGGACACACCGTGACGATTTGCCATGATTATTCGGGACCAAGTGGAATATACTTTTTAAACTACACCACTAAACGAAATTCCAACCTGACATAAAGGTAACTGATTATAAGTCGTGCGATAACCATTATATACACCAAATTTACTTTATTTTTCATTATGAACGATAACTCGCACTCTACTAATATACTTGCAAGCTAAGCTACACTTACAAGCTATAGAAAACACATGATTATCACTAACGCGTTACATGTGTGATTAGCTTTCTGGTGCGATATTTATAAGCCTTTGGTTAACATACTCAATAGCAGGCTCCCAATGGTTTTACCTCCGACGAAAGTAAGATACAACTTACATACTGGAGGGACCAAGTTGAACAAAGCCCTAAGTATAGATGATAGCAGTGGGTGTGATTTTATATGACAATGTTCCCCGGGCTTCATTTTTTCCGCAAGTAACGGACATAAGTTCATAAGAACAAGAGCAATCAAACACATTATATAAGGCATCACGAAGATGAACCCATTAGCGAATTCCCGGATAGAATACGCAGCACAAATCAAAGTGACAAAATATGACAACATCTCAAGGAAATCTGATAACAATGGATGTGATTTTATTTGGATAGCGTCCTTAGACCTAAAGTTTATTCCACTTAAGCCAAAGAAGACGGCTAGGCCTCCAGCGACCAGACACTTTATTTCGTGATGTAACATCTCCTCTGATGGGTTCGATAATAAGCAGCCACAACAGAGAGCAGAACTCATAGACACGCCAAATAACAAACTCTGAAGTATAGATGATGACCTTTCGTGTGATTTTATGTGGAAGCTACCCTCGGGCCACATTCTGATTGCAAATATCAAACAAATTATCAGAATTGGTAAAGCCATAAGCATTCCATCCTGAAGTGTTGTCACTATCTCATGAACAAATTTAATAATCACGTCAGAAAGAATTTGATATTCCGACTTCTCTGGTGTACTCAAATATGGCCTGCCATAATAGTAAGCAGCACTTATAAGGACAACAATTGACAAAAACACAGGCATAGTTGATAACCATTGTGATTTTATACGGAAAACACCCTTAGGCCTCATTGTGATTGCAACCATCACACAAACTAATAAAATACAAGCTACAATCGCATGTATTTTTTTATCCTGAAGGAATGTTGTCACGTCAAGAACAAATTTAGCTCCCTTGTCAATAACAAATTCACCACCTTTCATTAAAGGAGTTTTAATCCTACTCATAAAACTTAGCTCGCTAGTTGGCGCTTTCGACTTGCTCGAATTGACTGGGGCGCTAGTTAACTTGCACACAAAAGAAGTAATCAAAGTCGTTAGATTTGACGTGGGGGTTCCTGAACCCGTTGTGGAGATTTTGGTAATATTACCTTTCTCAAATACAGTTTTATTGGCCATTTTGATAATGATTGAAATCTATATTATCTCGTCGGTTAACTGATTATGAATGAAGCGAAATAAATAAAAAGTTCATAATTTGCGGCAACTCCACAGAAGAAAACCGCGATCTACGTATCTACTGAAAACAATGGCATACTTTAACGGGGGTCTTTTATTGCACATTGCATTTGCCATCAATTTCGGCATAAATAATATTCAACAGCTACGTTGTCATATCACATCTATGTTGTGGACACTAGATGAATATGTAAAAATTGGCTGTAAAAAGCAGTGGAAGTATTTCAGTTCGTTCGTTCGTTCGTTCGTCCATTTGAATGTATTGATGGATTATTTAGGTTGATGGAATACTGTAATAGCACGATGCTGATCGTTAGTCTGTTATTCTTTCAACGTTCTCCATTTCTCTAGGTCATGTTAGCCAATCAGGGAACTTGGAACAGACAGGACTAGGGAATTATCTGAGCCGGGAACCATACTAATATCCCATGCTTCTAACGGATCTGAAGAGAACCCTGGAAAGTAATGCTTGGCGAAGTAATGATCCATCATTCCAGAATCAATATGGAACGAAGAGCTACCAGGCTGGTGTATATTGAATGCACGTTGTTGTAATTCTTGTGATTATAAATTCTGTCTATGGTGCTTCTGGCCGTTGCACTAGCAACAGTACTTTGTGGTCAACATTAATTTGAGAGGCTTCTTGGTCGAAGACGATGAAGATGCTTTTGAGTTCATTGAAACTGGTTGGAAATTGTTTGTGTATGGGATAAATGAACATACTTATAGAGTCCAGTCATAGGTCTTGATATTGTTATATCGCTTTGTGGGACATTAAGTACCGTTATGAATGGCCATTGACAAACTTCGAGTTGTGAGTAAAGACACTCTACCTCTGAATTCACAATATAGGATCAGCTAAGACCACAATGTATCACAATGTAGCACCATTAATAGGATGTGTTTATTCCAGTATTACCGATTAAACTAATGCATAGCTTATAGGACAATGAACTAAACAGAAGATATATTTCATGCATTCGTCGCTATTTGTGTAAATATTCTGCATATACCGCGATAACTTTTACAAGCAACCACATAAAAGCTTCGGTGCATTATGTACCTGCGTATGTGTTTTTGATCTGTTAGATGTTACTTTAACTATTTTTTGATCTGTCAGATATTACACTCACAACTTTTTGATCTGTTGATCAACATTTTTAAACGTTATAAAAGGTCAATATGTATCATTTCTTCATTTATGAATTCCCACTCGAGAACGTAATCGGGAAGAGACTATCATCGTCCAAAATGATGGAAAAGAAGTTGACAAATAGTAATAAGGAAGCTTTCTCAGAAAGTCAAACTGCTACCAGATACCGTGCAATGGAATTTAGATCGACAGCATTGACTGTATTATGTTTGGGTGCTCTATGGTACATACTAACTCAGAATGGCAGTACTTGGGTATTTCCAACACTCGCGTTAACGATTATAGATAGCATTAAAACTTTATCATTGAAAGATAT